TAGAAATAGAAATTTCATTTGACCCAGCAATCCCATTACTGGGTATATATCTAAAGAACCATAAATCGGTCTACTCTAAGGACACATGCACACGAATGTTCATCATTGCAGCACTGTTTACAATAGCAAAGACCTGGAACCAACCCAAATGCCCATCGATTATAGACTGGACTGGGAAAATGTGGCACATATACACCATGGAATATTGTGCAGCAATCAAAAATGATGAGTTCATGTCGTTTGTAGGAACATGGATGAATCTGGAGAACATTATTCTCAGCAAACTGACACAAGAACAGAAAATGAAATACTGCATATTCTCACTCATAGGTGGGTGATGAACAATGAGAACACATGGACACAGGGAAGGGAGCACGACACACTGGGGTCTATTGGGGGAATAGGGGAGGGACAGCGAGGGGGGAGCTGGGGAGGAATAGCATGGGGAGAAATGCCAAATGTGGGTGAAGGGGAGGAAGGCAGCAAAACACACTGCCATGTGTTTACCTATGCAACTATCTTGCATGTTCTGCACATGTACCCCAAAACCTAAAATGCAAATAAAAAAAAGAAAAGAAGGAAAAAAGCAAGAAACAAAGATAAACTTGGAAAGCAACTTGAGATTCTAACTCCCTGTTGCCTCAATTCCAAATCCAATTACATGTCTAAAGGGAGCTGCAGAAACTTAGCTGAAGGGTCAGTTGAGATTCTGACCACATGGCAGGAAGGTACAGGTCACATCTAACCTTCACTGGTTTTAGTCGGTTCTGAGGACACATTTCCAGTCTTCTTTTTTCTTGGGACAGGAACACTTTTCTGGTCAAATGTAACAGGTCTATATTGCAGAAGGCTGTTGAATTTTTTTTCAAATTCTTCATCCAGCTTTGGGGAGCCAAGGAGACAGTCTTCCTTTGGCTTTGTCTTCTTGAACTTCTTGCTCGCATGGGTCCCACTCTGATTAAATGTCCAGCTTTCTTCATTCCATCACCCTTCATGATCAGAGGACTTTCCTTTTCCTGAGCTTCGTTTCCCTCTGTCAACATTAGCTCGCAGAGAGGTGAGCATGCCTTCAGACACCAGGGTTATATAAAGAGCACCTTTGCAAGACCTTTCAGATTTCCTGGAACCACAAGTTTCTATTTTTCCGTGACAGTCACTGTCCTCGGATTTGGCCTGTCCTGATAGGCTGGGTGGTAGTACATCTTCCATGGGGGTCAATGGTTCTGCCTTTATACCCTCTGGTGCCTCACCAGAAATGTTCTTGCTGTCAGAAATACAAATGAAATCTGAAGGTCTTAACTCTTTGGTGGTGTCTGAGGATTTCTCCTTTGACATTTTCTCTTTTTTTTATTGCATTTTAAAGTCTTAATTTCCACTCATACAGTGGTAGATTTGATATAATGCATAATAAAAATCTTAAAATCCAGAATGCACAAAGTACTGCACAATTTGATCACTAAATCATTAGTTGATAAGCGAACCTCACACAACAGCTTCATGTCAGCCAAGGCCACAAGCACCATGTACCATACATGTGAACGGACAGATTGACATGTTAAAAACACAATATCAGTGCATATTGGGGATTCCTGGTGCCAGAAACATGGGAGGGCAGAACTAGTCCTTAGCAGCTTCCTCCTCCTTTATTCTAGCTGAGGCATTCTCTCAGGCTTTGGCCAACACACAGAGCTTGATCTCCAAGCCAATGGCTTTGGCCAGGGGCAGTGGCATGGCATTGCCCACCTGCCTGTGCTTGTCCAGGATGTTGCCAAAGAGCTGGTAGGTGTCGGGGAAGCCCTGGGAGCGGGCACACTCCCGCACACTCACCACATGGTGTTTCTCGGAGTGGAGCACGCAGCCCTGCTTGTCCATGGGCTCAGGGTTGGTGACTGTTGTGCTGAAGAAGCCGTCTCACTCGAGCCTTCCCTAGAGGCCAGCCCAGTGGTTGTGCCAGTTCCCAGTGTGGGGCAGGCACCAGGGGATGAGGGTGTTGAACTGCCTAGCTGTAGAGTCGCAGGCTTTGCCATCTTCCACACAGGAGCAGATTCCATAGAGGGCCCCGGAGCTGCTGCAACCATTCTTCCCATCGTGGTGGGTATACCGCAGCTTCCGGGCCATGGTGCTTTTGCTGTCCAAGCCGCACTTCAATGTTGGGCAGATCTCACCAGTCTGAGCCAGGGGCCAAGAGGATGTGCCACATGCGGGAAGCCACCAATGCTCTCATGTTCTTACAGATGTGGTCCCTGAGGATGGGCTGGTACTGTATGCCCCAGAGCTGCCTCTGAAACCAGGACTGAGGCTCCCCGTTGTAGGAGATCTCCAGCGCTGAGGCTCCATTCCGCACCTCCAGCAGGTCAGACAACGTGTCTCGCACCGTGATGGTCCAGAAAGGACCCGAGCTCAACCTGGTTATGTTGCTCACGAACTTCTTGTCATCCACCACCACGCTCAGCTGGCAGGCCTGGGGCACAAACACATGCAGTGGCTCCGGGAACAGGGGGAGCTTCTCTCCAGGGGCTGTGGCCAGGATGATGGCCTGCCTCCGCATCCAGGCCACGCCATGCTGACTGGCCTGCAGCACGCCAAAGGTGCACTGATAGCCCATCTTCAACCTCTGGAAGATCACCAAGGTCATGGATGTCCAGCTGGACCGGGAACACAGGGTGGCAGGTATCTTCTCCCACATGTCATTCAAAGACAAGTCCACGCATATCGAGTCCTCGACATAGGTGTATGATGATATGGCATTCCAGTGCCTGTCCTGGATCCTCTTCCCACTCCTGGGCTACTACGCTGTCTACAGCCTTCTGTACCTGGAGCACAAGGGCTGGTACTCCTGGGTGCTCAGCATGCTCTACGGCTTCCTGCTGACCTTTGGCTTCATTACCATGATGCCCTAGCTCTTCATCAACTACAAGCTCAAGTCCGTGGCCCACCTGCCATGGCGCATGCTCAACTACAAGGCCCTCAACACCTTCATCGATGACCTGTTTACCTTTGTCATCAAGATGCCTGTTATGTACCAGATTGGCTGCCTGAGGGATGATGTGGTTTTCTTCATCTACCTCTACCAATGGAGGATCTACCGTGTCGACCCCACTCAGGTCAACACGTTTGGCATGAGTGGAGAGGACCCCATAGCCTCCACCCCTGTGGCCAAGGTTCCCACAGCAGCAGGGTCCCTCATGCCTGCACCTTCACCCACCATGACCACTGCTACCAGGGAGGAGGCCTCCACATCCCTGCCCACCAAGCCCACCCAGGGGGCCAGCCCTGCCAGTGAGCCCCAGGATGCCCCTCCAAAGCCAGCAGAGGACAAGAAAAAGAATTAGTCACAACTGGTCCTTGCCTGTTCCGGTTCCTGGTGACCACAACCGCTGTGCCCTGGCCCCCTCACCCCCCCTCCCTGTTGCCCTTTCCCTAGATAGATCAGGCCAGGGTGGCAGGAGGCCCACCTTGGGTCAGGGACCAGCATGTGATGTAGGGGCCAGGGCAGGCCAGGGCTTGTGTGTGGAGGTGCCGTCTGTCCCTCTGTGTTTCCAGCCATCTCGCCCTGCCAGCCCAGCACCACTGGGAATCATGGTGAAGCTGAAGTGGTGCTGCCAAGGGGGTGGGTGGGGATGGGGCTGGGGCCAGGCCCCACTACGGGATGCCCATGGCCGTCCATCATCTTGTCCCTCATCCCTCAACCACTTCCCCCCTACCACCACCCTTTAACACAGTCTGGATTTAATAAATTCATATGGGTGTTTAACTTAAACTCAGAAAAAAAGTATCAGGTTTTTTTTGTTGTTTTTTTTTTTTTTATTCTACCTGCTGATTTTAAAACTGATCTATTTTTCTGCTATTTCTAAAATATAATGATTTTAATGTTGTATTGATTTTTATTGATAGATAACCTTTATTGAGTACTTTATCTGCCAAACATTGTGCTGGACACTTGAAATATAAATTTCACCTGATCCTCACAACCACCTTAGGAGACACACAGTTGCATTTTATAGATGAAAAACTGAGGTCAATAGACATTAAACAACTTGCTCAAAATCATGCAGTTAATTTATGAAGCTAGGATTCTGCTGGTCCTTTTAAAATGAAGCTCATACTCTTTTAGTTATACCATGCTGTATCCTTAATTAAAACCCAGAAGTTCATTCTGACTGCTTGGTCTTCCACTTCAAAACAAAGATTATAAAAAAGATGTAACCTCAGAAAAAGGAAATTTTTATATTCCTAAGAAAAAACAGCACCACTGAGCCACCATCTTATTTTATCAAGATCTCAATTGATGGTTTAGTTTTCCCCAAAAGAGCACTGAGTTGACTCAATATCAAGTAATACCTGCACAGCCACCACAGCACCTCTTTGCAGCATCACATAATCACCAAAATCAACCACTTTTCAAAATTAGAAAATCACAGCCTAATATGTATTACTTGCAGTTTCTTTCTAGAGATTAGGTGCATGGTGACATAAAAATGGAAGCCTCCAGATTTCACAAAGATGTCAAGTTTTACATTTTGATACAATGCAAATGAATTGGCAAATACCATTGAAACCAACAATCAACCAAAGAAAAAAGTATTCTATAACCAAGTAAACACCTTCTATGACTTCCTTTTAAGAATAAATAAGGTCAAATTTATTCATTCAACAAACATGTATTGAGCACCTGAAACTGTGCTAGGTGCTGAGGAATATAGCTGTGAACAAGATAAATCAGGCTCCTGTCTTGACCAGATAGGTTTTTTTTTCTCTTAAAATATTTAATCAGTTTGGAGACCTCTTCCTTCCAATACAATTGGGTAAAAATTCTAAAGAAAGCAAGATTAAGGAGTCCTCAAAGAAAACATTGTTCTAAAATGGAGAGGAGGCTGGGTTTGGGAAAAGAGAACATAGCACATGTCTGAAGGCCTTTGGAAGGAATTCTACAACTTATTTTTTTTTTTTAATACTCAAAATGAACAAGACAGGATTAAACAGTGATACAAATTTAAGGGCAATTCAATCTTCTTTTATGGCTGAAAATACCAGACATGGTTTTGAAATTCATTCTCTGAAAACCCTTCGATACTGCTGCGGTTTGTTTACATAGCCTTCTCAGTGTATGCAAAAAGCAAACTAGCTACTCCGAGCATTCCCCACCAGCTCCCAGGTCTTTGCAAAGCAGCAACACAGTGAGAGAAGGAGTGGAAGAGGTGACAGCAAGCTGTTCACAGTCTTTGAACATAGACCACCACAAACCTAATCTATGTTCCTTAAAAAACATGGAAATAAACTGAAGGCCTTGAAAAATCACCAACAATCTTATATCAGGGAGCCAGTGATAATACTTTTTGATAACTGCATCATAGGAACTGGGGGTGGCATGTCCTTCAGGGCGACAGGTCTGCAATAGTACTGGTGGGAGTCAGGACGTCGGGGCTGACTCTTTGGGGAAATGTTCAGCAGGAAATGCATAACGTCTGTCTCACTCTCATTCTCTCTGTTGTTTCCTCTCCTCTCTTCTCCTGTCCCTTGGTGCTGATGAGAGGCAGCATCAGAGGCTCCAGCCCAAGGCTCAGAATGGGTACTGAGACACATATATCCACAGTGGGACCACAGAGCTGCCTCTGAAGTTGATGACAGTGTTGACAGTGATCATTTCCAAGTCCAGCTGGATTTCCCGGGGCCCTTTGAGGGGGCGCATCATCACTAGGATGGCGCTGATGGGGCCCATTTGCTGCACATAAAATTCTCTGTCCTCGTTCCCAGATTTGATCTGGAAAAGGTAATAGGCCCCAGGGTAGCAGGTCGTGGCTTGCATTTGGAAGATGTCAGCAGGAACGAAGTGTCCTGACACCACATCCACGTCCAGGTACAAGATGGTAAAGGGCTTGTCTCTGCAGCCAGGGTTCTCAGCAGGACACATACAGCAGTTATCGCTGATCCTCAGATAAGGCTCCTCACATCGGATGGGGTCAATGCGTTTGAAACCCCCTTGTAAATTGTAGCAAGTCTGCTGCAGGTTTCATGTGTGCTTTCTGTGCTCACATTCATTGATGTCCTGGCGGCTTCGGTTGTCATCCAGTAGGATGTAGCCTGAAGGGCAGGAGCAGAAGTACATGCCGGGCTGGTTCACACATTCATGTTGGCAGAGGAACTCAGAGAAGCTGCACTCATCCACATCACTGCAGTGAACACCATCTTCCTCAAGTTCATATCCTAGGTCACAGTGGCAGACGAAAGAGCCATAGGTGTTGATGCAGGTTTGCACGCAGGGGTCCTCAGTTACACACTCGTTCACATCTTGGCAAGAGCTTCCATCCTCATTGAGGGTAAAACCAGGGTTGCATGTACAAGAGTAGGATCCAGGAACATTCGCACAGAGCTGCTGGCAGTACCATAGTGACATTCATCAATATCTAAGCACTGGCCTTCCAGTAGCCAGTATCCATCGGTGCAGGAGCAGGGGTACCTGCCTTCAGTGTTGATGCAGATCTGGGTAGAGTTGCACTGGTGGGAATCTGTTGTACACTCGTCCACATCCACACACTGGTTGCCTTCATCTGGTATCCAAAGCGGCATATAAGAGGCCTGGAGATTGTGGAATAGTTTGGAGCTGAGAGCGGTGGGGCAGCTGCTGGGTATGGACCTGAGTGGGGGTCAAATAGGGGTTCAAGTAGGGCCCTCGATACGTGGGGTTTGCTCGGGGGATGCATAAATACCCACCATTTTGGTTAATACACATCATGTCTCCTCTGCAGGCCTCAGGGATGGTCCAGCATTCATCGACTCAAGAATTCCATGTTCATGGTTAGGAAGAATCAATATTGTGAAAATGGCCATACTGCCCAAAGTAATTTATAGATTCAACGCTATTCCCATCAAGCTACCAATGATCTTCTTCACAGAACTGGAAAAAAACACCTTCAACTTCATATGGAACCAAAAGAGAGCCCACATAGCCAAGTCAATTCTAAGCAAAAAGGACAAAGTGGGAGGCATCACACTACTGGACTTCAAACTAACAAGGCTACAGTAATCAAAACAGCATTGTACTGGTACCAAAACAGAGATATAGACCAATGGAACAGAACAGAGGCATTGGAGGCAACACAACATATCTACAACCATCCAATCTTTGACAAACCTGACAAAAACAAGCAATGGAGAAAGAATTCCCTGTTTAATAAATGATGTTGGGAAAACTGGCTAGCCATGTGCAGAAAGCAGAAACTGGACCCCTTCCTGACACCTTACACTAAAATTAACTCCAGATGGATTAAAGACTTAAACATAAGACCTAACACCATAAAAACCCTAGAAGAAAACCTAGGCAAAACCATTCAGGACATAGGCAAAGGCAAGGACTTCATGACCAAAACACCAAAAGCATTGGCAACAAAAGCCAAAATAGACAAATGGGACCTAATCAAACTCCACAGCTTCTGCATGGCAAAAGAAACAGTCACTAGAGTGAATCGGCAACCAACAGAATGGGAAAAAATTTTTGCAGTCTACCCATCTGACAAAGGGCTGATATCCAGAATTTACAAAGAACTCAAACAGATTTACAAGAAAAAAACAAACAAGCCCATTCAAAAGTGGGCAAAGGATATGAACAGACACTTTACAAAAGAAGATATACATGAGGCCAACAAACATATAAAAAAATGCTCATCATCACTGGTCATCAGAGAGATGCAAATCAAAACTACATTGAGATACCATCTCACACCAGTTAGAATGGTGATCATTTAAAAATCTGGAGACAACAGTTGCTGGAGAGGATGTGGAGGAATAGGAACACTTTTACACTGTTGATGGGAGCGTAAATTAGTTCAACCATTGTGGAAGACAGTGTGGCGATTCCTCAAGGACCTAGAAATAGAAATTCCATTTGACCCAGCAATCCCATTACTGGGTATATATCCGAAGGATTATAAATCGTTCTACTATAAGGAAATATGCGCACAAATGTTCATTGCAGCACTGTTTACAATAGCAAAGACCTGGAACCAACCCAAATGCCTATTGATAATAGACTGGACAGGGAAAATGTGGCACATATACACCATGGAATATTATGCAGCCATAAAAAATGATGAGTTTGTGTCCTTTGTAGGGACATGGATGAACCTGGAAACCATCATTCTCAGCAAACTGACACAAGAACAGAAAATCAAACACCACATGTTCTCACTTGTAGGTGGGTGTTGAACAATGAGAACACATGGACACAGGGAGGGGACACTGGGGTCTGTTGAGGGGAAATAGGGGAGGGACAGCTGGGGGATGGGAAGCTGGGGAGAGATAGCATGGGGAGAAATACCAGATATAGGTGAAGGGGAGGAGGACAGCAAATCACATTGCCATGTGTGTACCTATGCAACAATCTTGCATGTTCTTCACATGTACCCCAAAACCTAAAATGCAATAACAGAAATAAAATATATGGCTTACCTAAAAAATAAAACACTAAATTAATTATGAAAAGCTTTGCATATGGCTCTAGTTTCTCATAAATTACTTATAAACATGATATTTACAAATATAATTATGAATTATAAGATATCATATTTAAGTAACATTTTGTTTCTGTAATCACGCCTCTTTTTAATGTAATTTTCTCGTGTATTTCAATGTATTATGGAAATGCAATAACTGAAGAATTTGTATTTTATACAGCTAGAAATGTGTAAACAAAGTCTTCTGCCATAATTTAAAAAAATGAAGAGGAGCACCAAAACAAGTAATTTGCCAAGAGTCACAGTTTTCCTTGTATCCATATATTCTGATCCCCCTGCCACTACCCCACACAGACACATTCACATTTCCCACCACTCTCTCACTGCCTGCAAAAAGATCTAGTTAGCCAGATATGTTTTTTCAGGCTTTTTCAGATATTACATTCATGTTTTGACTTGCCATGTAGCATAATTAAGAAGGCCTGCCTTTGTTTTCCTATTGTGAAAGGTTTGGAGAGTTTTGATGTCCCACTGGGCTGTCTGAATGACTGTCAGTTCACTTTATTCTTCATGTAGGTATGGCATAAGTGACTTTTCAACTATTAGAAAGTTACTTTTAAATGTGATTTACTTGACTAACATCCACCTTAATATTTCTCTTCTTCCCTTAAAAGGAAGAAGAATATTTGCCATATAAAACACTGTATATCTTATTTCAATATAAAATACAAATTTAGTTTTTATTATTCATATGCAACAGTAAAGACTCCCAGAAACATTTAAAAGCAGAGTTTCACATCAAATATGTAAAATTGCCAAACTCGAACTGAAAGACAGGCATCTTAATTTCATCCTTGAAATGCTAACTTGCAATAAATATTTTGAATATTACTAAAAAATAAAACAAACAGAATGACAGTTGGAGGGCATGTCATTTTCTTATCTGTAGCTTGAACACTGTAATGATCCACCTCATTGCCACCATATTTTTCTAATTTAATTTTTTCATTTTCACTTTGAAAAATATTTGCCATTCTGGACAAGGATAACCAAAAGATGTTCCTCAGAGAAGGTGCACACATAAATCAGTAAGCTTGAAGCTCATGTGTGTCATGTAGTTTTAGAATGATTCCAAAGAGTTAAACAGCTTGCTGTGTTTTGCTGTGACAAGAACTTAGATTGTACTGCCCCACACCTCAAGAATGCAATGTCAGCCAGGCACTGTGGCTCACACCTGGAATCCAAGCACTTTGGGAGGCCCAGGTGGGAGGATCACGAAATCACGAGTTCAAGGCCAGCTAGTTCGAGACCAGCCTGGCCAACAGGGCAAAATCCCATTTCTACTGAAAATACAAAATTAGCCAGGTGTGGTGGCGGGCACCTGTAATCCCAGCTACCTGGGAGCCTGAGGCAGGAGAATCGATTGAACCTGGAGGCAGAGGTTGCAGTGAGCCGAAATCACGCCACTACACTACAGCCTGGATGACAGACCAAGACGCCATCTCAGAAAAAAGAAAAGAAAAGAAAAGAATGCGATGTCAGAGCTTATCAGACCCATCATATGCGAGTTACCGGCCTCAACCACGGGAAATACATAAGAGTTCGATGAACACTCTGAGAACGTCCATCTCAGCCATTTCTCCAAATATGGCGAGCATATTCTACGACAGGGCTGCACTGCCAGTCACTACTTGGAAGACTGAACTCAGGCAGAAACAGTGCCCTACTCTGCCAGTCTTTGAGCTTTGAAGCCTGGCCTGCAACACCGGCACCATCCACTAGTGTCAGGGGACCTTAGGTGTCCTTGAGGATCTCCATGATGTCAGACACCATCTTTCCAGAGAATTCGCTTGGAAACAATGGTGCACCTCAAACTTTAATTGGATTTTTCTTTCCGCAGAGGCCTGCTTCATTCGTACTTCAGGAACTAGACTTGAATATTTGGAACTCGCTCACTCAGTGGTTAATGTGCCTCATCTCTTGGGTGTATTCCCTGTAGATTTGTTCACATTATTCTCCCCCTTTTCAAGCATTGCAAACCTAAGAAAACAAATTCTCCTTGCATGGCAATAACCATGTGATTTGTGAAGTCATACTTTGACGGTCTTATTTTAACCACACAAAACAGTGTGGCTCAGAAATTCAATGGGATAATTTCTCTGGTCAGGGGCATATCCCCATGAAGTGAAGCAGTAATGGAACAGGGGTTTTAGTTAATGGGTAAAATGGGTGATTTAATTGGAAATTACAAGGAAGTGAAGAGCCATTCCAAAATATGCAGAAATCTCTGAAATCATACATACTTTTTAGGTTAGCAAAACTTAAGTGCAAGGAGTCATAATTTGGGTTTATTTAAAGAATGTCTCTAGTCAGGCCGGGTGCGATGGCTTTGGGAGGCTGAGGCGGGTGGATCACGAGGTCAAGAGATTGAGACCATCCTGGTCAACAAGGTGAAACACCGGCTCTACTGAAAAATAGAAAAATTAGCTAGGCATGGTGGTGCACGCGTGTAGTCCCAGCGACTCAGGAGGCTGAGGCAGGAGAATTGCTTGAACCCAAGAGGCGGAGGTTGCGGTGATCCAAGATCGTGCCATTGCACTCTAGCCTGGGTAACAAGAGCGAAACTCCATCTCAAAAAACAAACAAACAAAGAATGTCTCTAGTCTTGAAATAACCTGGGTGATAAAATAATAATCATCTTTACTTTTTTCTACTTGTTTCTCTTTAATTTCAGCACTTTAAATATAAGACATAAAGTAATATATAACAGATCTTCAATACATATTTTGCAGAACTAAATAAACTTTAAGGGAGATATCCTAATAGTCTTCAAAATATTTTCATGTTAGATTACATATTATTTTTCTGTCATCAATTTCTAATTTAAAGCTATTTTCCCACTTAGAATCCTTACATTTTACCTCCTCTTTTATGGAGAGCTTACAATAATTTTTTCTCAGTGCATGAAAAAACTGAGCTTGACAACCACCCATCCCCTTGAAAATCAGTTAGTATTGTCTTTTATAATAAATCTCTTCCTTATTTACTGGAGAAGTGAAGCTAAGTATACTGTTGCATCAGCGTGAGTCAGAAAGAGAAGCAGATCTTGCTCATCAGGAAGCCAGGATAATGAAATTTCCAACTTCCTCTAGGTCATTTTGTGAAAGATGGTATCATTTTATGTAAGACAAATTCCCAGAAATATTATCACCCTACACACACACACACACACAGGCAAGGAGGAGGCTATTGTGCCTTGGGTACTTGCCTAGGCATTGCCTGAAAAGTACAGATAATTGTCATTAATCAAGCTAATCACAACTGTTAAAAGAGATGACCCTCAATTCAGAGTTATTTCATATTCAAATGCAATACAGTTTCTATTTCTAATATATTAGGTTGCACAGAAACACTAAGATTGTACTTAACAAATGTGGACTGAGGACCATTTTAACATTGTAGTAAAGGACTGATCACAATTCTACCTAGTTATATTAACAACATTCCAGAATGGTATTGGGAATTGATTTTTTTTTGATGGGGGTCTCACCATGTTGCCCAGGGTGGTCTCTTAACTCCTGGACTCAAGTGATCCTTCTGCCTCAGTTTCCCATGTAGCTGGGACTACTGGTGCATGCCACTGTACCTGTCACATTTTTTAAGTCATAAACTGATTCCAAATCATAAATAAATCTAGAGGAAAGGCAGAGGACTTACTATGGTGCTATCTTGACAACCTCAAAGTAACTAATCCCCAAAAGTTTCTTCAAAAATCACAAATTGCTTCCATCTTAGACCCAATTTTTCTACCAAATAAAGCCTATTGTACTCTATAATGAAAAATACAGAGCTCAATGATACTTAAGTGATGCTATGTAATCTAATAGCTTTGATGACTCAGTTTCCAAGATACACAATTATATTCAAAGAGTACTGTCTAGTCCCATTGATACCACAATCAAATTCTTCCTTCGCTGCAGACAACACCTCGTACTTGAGCAGAAGCTGAGTCATGTTCCCCAACATATGCCTCTAACAACAGATATGCAAAAGTCTTAGAGTTAAATGTCTGAGTGGTTCTGTTTTATAATAGATCAGTAGTTCCTGAAATTAGTATTTGCCTTCCAGGATAAAATATTTTTTCTAAAGTGTTCCTAATATTCTTGCATCTCTTAAAGTCATTGTCATAAATAGCAATGATGCTTTGATAATCCTGATAACAAACTACTTCCAAACTGCAATAAACAGAAGGAAAATGGTAGGATATACAGAAAATCCTTTGAGAAATCCAGAGAGGACTGATAATAGATATAAAACCAGTAGCCTGTGGCTTTTGAAGAAGAGAAGCACATTTGTTCCCAATTAAAGCTAGGAATTCTCGACAGATATCATTTACTTTCAAATGACCATAATTGTTGTATTCCTTATAATGTCAAATGAAATATTCTTTGTTTCCTATGTTTACCAGCTCCTTTACTATTTGAGCAGAACAATCCATGATACATAGAGAAGGCACAGTCACAAGCAATCCCTCTGCGTTTCTCTCACATCTCCCTCCATGGTGACACACATGGCCATAGTTGTGCAGTGTCAGGCATGCCCTGGCTCCACTCTTGGAGTCACTGTGGCTCTTTCTTTCAGACCCAGGATCATCCCTTTCAACTACAGAGAATGAATGCATCCCAGAAAGCCTCGGTCTGGTGGCCGTTCCATCTACAAGGGAAGCAGTACAAATACAAACACATTCCTTTGTGTTTTATTCAAGATTTCATCATCCTGTCAAACTGAAGCCTTATGGAGAATAGCAGAAATTGTGATCATTCAAAAGGTCTTAGGAACAAATATAACTTTGGAAATGTACATTTAACGAAATGTTAAGTAATGGAAAATTACTTCATTTACTTACTTAGCATACATATTCATATATTTTACTTGATATATAATAATTGTACATATTTATGGGGTACAGAGGAATATTTCAGTAGATATATTCAAAGTACAATGGTCAAATCAGGGTAATTAGCATGTCCATCACCTCAAATCTTTATCATTTCTTTGTGTCAGTAACATGCAAAAACCTCTCTCCCGGGAAAAAATAATACAATAAACTGTTGTTTACTGTGGTTACCCTGTAGTGCTCTAGAACACTAGAACTTATTTCTTCTATCTAGTTGTACTTTTGAGGAAGACGATACTGACCACATTTGTGAAACATTATCCTAATATGAATGATAATTATAGGTGGGGTTTTATGCTAATATAGCTCAAAGAACTCCATAAATAAATGCCCACAATTATAAGTGAGAAAACAAGATTATTCAGTTTGGTCTGTGTGTGTGTGTGTGTGTGTGTGTGTGTGCGTGTGTGTGTGTTCCTATTGTCAAGCAAGGAGTTTGTTTTAGTTCATTTTTCAAGAGGCCCAAACTTATGCAACTGGAAGAATTAACTGCAAGTTAATTATTGCAATCTGAAGTTATTTATAAGACTATGGTATGTACATACATACACACAATTCTGAATTCACTGTGTAATATTAGTACTCAAAATCACATATATTCTACAGGAGAACAAGCTGTGTGAAAATTTGTGAGTTATCTCAGTCTGCAATTGGACACTACAATTATTTACTTTAAAACAGATTAGAAATGACTGACAGAAAGCTATTTTTTAAACTAAATGACAGCACAGTAAAAAGAAATATGGAGTACAAAGTAATGAAGCAAAATATAAATTTTCCTTTGGGAAAAAAGTGAAGACACATAAAGCAATTGAAGAGATGTCTTTCATTTCCTAGAGTGATACACATATTTAGTAGTTTGGTAGTTAATTTTTGTTTAACACTTATATTGAGGTTTTGTTGGCATATAATTAACACACATACTTAAAGTGCAGGACCTGTAAAAATTTTTACATATGTATACAACCACGAAACTATCATCATAATTAAAATAAGGAATATATCCATCCGCAAAGTACTAGATATATCCAATATACCCCCACAAAGTATTCTCTTGCCTCTTCACAATCCCCTCCCCCATAACCTCCCTGCTTTTCTCAAATCCCACGTATCTGATCTCTCTCATGGTTAGTTTCTATTTTCCAAAATGTCATATAAATGGAACCATATAGTATTTACTTTTCTTTGTCTGGCTTTTCTTTCAGCACAATTATTTTGTAATGTATTAATGTGTGATGTGTATCAATAGTTAATTCCTTTTTATTGCTGAGTAGTATCTCACTGTGTGAATATAGCTCAATTTCTGTGTTCATTCATTTGAATATGGGCATTTGAATTGTGTCCAGTTTTGATCTCTTGCAAATAAGCTACTGTGAACATTTATGCACAGATGGTCATATGAAAATATCATTTCATTTCTCTTAGGTAAATATCAAGACAAGAATAGTATGTCATATGGTAGGTATATGTTTAACATTTAAGAAACTGCCAAATTGTTTTGCAGAATGTTTGTCTTTATGCCAAATTGCTACAGTTAATTTCATTATGGTAAACTAAACTTGAATTCCCAGTACATCAATTTTATGAAACTTTGTTAAGATTTTTCTTGCATCTGAGGTCATGAAGAACTGTATTTTCATTTTCTTAAAACGTCTGTCTGAATGTGGTATCAGAATAATGCTGGACTTAGAGAATGAGTTCAAAAGTATTCTCTCATCTTCAATTTTCTGAATGAGGAGGTTATAAGGAAATGTGACTTTTCAAAGAAGGTCAGGAATTTTCCAGCTGGTTAAGGTGGGAGAATATTCCAAGGGGTGTAAATAATATGTGCCCAAGGACATGAGATAGCAGGATATTATCCTGGAGAACCTAGAAGCAACTCAGTACTATTGGAGCATCATGGAGAAACTGAGAAATAAGAAGGAGGCCGGGAAATTGAGGGTGATAAGTCCAGAGGCAAAGCCAGTGGTCATATGTGGGAAAGTTTTGAATGTCATAATCAGTGTAGGTGACAGGGAGCCTGCAATGGAATGATCTGAGGAAACTTGGAAATTATCTTTGGAATTATCTTTGGAATAGCAGTGTAGAGCATACACCAGGAGAAAAAGAGATTGAAGCTGAGCAATACTTCAGGAGGAAGTATGAATGGTCTAGATGAGAAACACTGAGGGCCTGATTGAGGCAGTGCTGATGAGGCTGAAAAACAGGTTGGGCTAATTTTTAGGGGAGAAAATTCAGAATTGATAAGGCTAGCTTGGTCTTTAGGTGTAGGTAGATTAAAAGAAGAAAAAAATAGCACTCTTATTGTGTATCTCATTTGGTAAAATGTAATGCTAAGCACATAAAAACGCTCAGGAATAGTTCTTTAATAAGTAAGTCTCCATAGTATTATCTGGTCTTGATTTAATTTTATTTCCAATTTTAAAATCACTTTCTATTAACTGGAACCTCCCATGCTTTATTCAGCCTCTTGGTGTGTTTCCAATCTACAAGGATTCTCTTAATATTTCCAAATGATTTGCAAGCAGAGAACTAAAAGGTGCCTTGCTTTCCAACCACATATTTATCTATTTAGATAGTCATTGTGTAGTATTCAAAATACTGAGAATAACGTTGTATGACTAAAAACAAAGAAGGAAAGGTATCAAAGCTCAATACACAAGCATGAGCCTTCTTTCCATTGCAGGCCACACAGAGGAACACCACATTTTTTCTTTTTTTTTTTAAGGCAGAGTCTCACTCTGTCACCCAGACTGGAGTGCAGTGGTGCAATATCCACTCACTGCGACCTCTGCTTCCTGGGTTCAAGCAATTCTTCTGCCTCAGCCTCTCAAGTAGCTGGTACTACAGGCATGCGCCACCATACCCAGCTACTTTTTGTATTTTTAGTAGAGACAGGGTTTCACCATATTGGCCAAGCTGTTCTTGAACTCCTGACATCATGATCCACCTGCCTTGGCCTCCCAAAGTGCTGGGATTACAGGTATGAGCCACCATGCCCAGCCCACAATTTTTCTTAGTATTGAACTTCAGTTCATTTCAACCTCATCCACTCTTTAACTGTGTATCATCAACACAGATTTTTTTCATAGAAAACAATTTCCAGTCTACAGAAAGAAATGGGAAACTCAGTCTATCAGAGCTTTAGAATTATTGAAGAAGATGAACACAGTATAAACAAAACTGCTTGTTTTTGTAAGCTAATTGCAATTACAGAGCTGAGAAAGACTTCCATTGATATGATGACTATCGAGCATATATTTTTATGTTTCTAAGAATTGAAAAGAAAACTATCAGGGCTTCAAATATATTTTGAAAAGATAATGTTATTTTGAGACAGGGTCTTAGCTCTGTCACTCAGACTGAAGTGCAATAGCACAATCACAGCTCACTGTAGCCTTGACCTCCCAAGCTTAAGTGATCCTTCCACCTCAGTCCCGTGAGTAGCTTAGACTACAGGCACTTGTCACCATGCCTGGCTAATTTTTACATTTTTTATAGACATGGGAGTCTCACTATGTTGCCCAAGGTTGACGTTGAGCTCCTGGGCTCAAGCAATTCTCCTGCCTTAGCCTCCCAAAGTGCTAGGATTACAGGCATGAGCCGCCAGTCCTGGCAAGGAGATAATTTTAGTTAGTTAGTTATTTTTTGAGACAGAGTCTTGCTTAGTCACCCAGGCTGGAGTGCATCGTGCCATCTCAGATCACTGCAACCTCTGCCTCCTGGGCTCAAGTGATTCACCTGCCCCAGCCTCCTGAGTAGCTGGGATTACAGGTGTGCACCACCACAACTAGCTAATAATTGTATTTTTAGTAGAGATGGGGTTTTATCATGTTGGCCAGGCTAGTCTCCTGACCTCAGGTGACCTGCCTGCCTCAGTCTCCCAAACTGCTGGGATTAAAGGTATGAGCTACCATGCCTGGCCAAGAAGATAATTGTAAATTATCACAATTTGTGGACGTGTATCATTCATGTACGTGATGCACATGATCTCTGAAGAGTGTTTTAAAGGTAAAATCAGCAAAGCACAGCCTGTTGGCCAAATCTGACCCACCACCTGTTCTTGTAATGCTGTGAACTAGAATAGTTTTTGCATTTTAAAATTTTTGAAAGGTTGAAAAAATCAAAAGAATAAACTTTTATAATATGTGAAAATTATCTGAAATTTAAATTTCTGTGTTCATAAATAAGGTTTTATTGGAGTACAGCTCACCAATCCATTGTGTACCAGCTGCATTTATACTACAATAGCAGAGCTAAGTGCTTATGACAGAGACTTTCTGGCCAACAAATCCTAATGTACTTACTAGCTGGCTCTTTCCAGAGACTGTCAACCCTGTTTTATGAGCTTTCTTCTAAAGAAACACAAGCCTTTAGTAAACTGAAGACTTCTTCATAAAAATTTTCTATGTCAGTGATTACATATGATAAAAAAAGAAAATGCATGAATTTAGTAAAGACAAAATTGATATTACAGATGAAAACCATAGGCATGCCTTTAATTATATATAGGATGCTTATTTTCCACCTTATGTCAGTAGATAGTTTAAGAACACACGCTTTAGGGTGGCCATTATTTTTTCTTGCATCTTGATGAGCTTTGCATGACTTTCGGCTGGTTACTTTTCTCTTGTAAGCCTCAGGTTTCCTACGAAAACAGAGTAATAGCAACACCAACATCATGGGAGTATGTTGAGTACCAAAGTGGGGAAGTGGGGTGTTTTTTTAGAGGAATTACTTAGTTTGTTATCTGGTCATAGGTGTGCAATAGATTATAATTATCATTCTCTGAAAATGTCACTTTCACTTTCTGGTGCTCCACTTCTAGTACTGCCTGTAAGGTCTGAAAGAAAATCTGTAAGACCCTGCCAACCATCATTTTGCATAGCAAGAGCCCCGCTCTGTGTTCCAATCTGGAGAAAAACTGTCCTCAGGTACATGAATCCAAGAACACGCTTGACAGAAGAGTGGAAAAAGGGAAGCCTAGGAGGTCTAGAAACAAAAATCTTAGTGGTAAGCAGTGCTGGAAGGCTGGTCGGCAGCTGGAGTACAGCTTGTGAGCAGCATATTGGGATTTTTGTTTTCCATGTTAGACTCTATTCCAGCTCTTTCTATGGAGAGTCCATGGTTTTATGATGGGTTGTTGATGAAGGAAAGCTCTAAATTTTTTTAGAGTGGATGAAGTATTTGTCATTTTATTCCATTTTATGTTAGGTTAACACTGCCATTTTTCTTTTATTATTCGATGTCTTAGCAGCTGATGTCTCCCAGGGGAATGGTACTCAGAAAATCATGAGGGTGCATTTCCTGGAAACTCTGTGATTTCTTTCTCACTGAGCTTGCCCTGCCTGTCTCCCTCCTGGGCCTGCTCTGCCTTTAGAATCCTTGTGACTCGGGATTCCTGTGGAGGAACTAGGGCCTGGTGACCTCCTGTCTCCTCAGCTATGATGCAACTTCTCTTTTCTTCTCTTAACTCAAGTAGGTCCTGAGCAGCCCAACAGAGGTGATCTCTTCTCCTCACCAGGGGTGGTCTGGAGTCAATTGATAAGAATCCTCTTTTCTTGGCCCTTACAAAACAAATCTCTGCCTAAAGACAGCTTAAGGGGAGAAAAATACCTGCAAACTGACCACTCCTTTGTACCCCCATTAATTACAGAAAATTAGATAAAGAAAAATCAGAATAGCAGGAGGCAGCAGACGCCTCCACAATGCAGCTTGGAAATAAAATTTCTATAGATCTGCTGTCCTTTTTTTTTTTTTAATCACATAGAAGAGTTTGCACAAATCTCATTTTTTTCACTTCCTGCATTTTTTGTGTCTTGACATATTATTTTGAGGAAAATATCTCTGAATTTTATCCTTGCTCCTCAATTGTGGTTGAACAGGAACTGTTAATTGAGTTTAGTCATTCAAAAGAAGAACAAAGTATTTCATCATTCTTACATATTTTGGTTGGACTCGTGATTAAAGAAGACAAATAAAAACACTCACACATCAGCCTGGTGTGGATAAAACCAAAAACAGTGATGCTCACAGGCATGCCTGAGAGTGGAATAATGGTGGGTGGGTAGGGGGTGGGTGGGCGGTGTGCCTGTTTAGTGAAATAATGGTGGGTGGGCGGGGGGGCGGCGTGCCTGTTTACTGGTAGGAGTAACTCTCATCATCATATTCCAGCTCATCTTCATCATCATCATCCAGCAGCCCGTACTTAAATTTCTGGTAGACTGTGCCATCCTGGCCCATGTAGACAATGTCATCATTGTCATCCTCATCATAGTCCCGACCCCTGTACTCAATCACCTGATCCTCTTCAAAGCTGGTGCTCTCTCTATAGCTGCTCTTATAGGAGGAGTAAGACTTGTTTGGGTCCGCCAGCTTTTCATAGCCAGCCTTTTCTGTTGCCTGGACTCGGCCACGTGACTTCCTCCACACAACCACAGCTGCCCCCAGCAGAAGGGCCAGCATCAGGGAGGAGGTGATGAACAGAGCTGTCTTGAAGTGCTCAGCTGCAGGCCCAACCTTGCTTGTTCGAAGGATGCATTCTTCTGTTGGAAGTCCCCAAAGGAAGAGGCAAGAGGGAAAAGGTGGAAGAAATAGAATAGAGAGAATTAGTTTCTGAGCTAGAATTTCACCCTTATTTTCAAAATCGAAAATGCTGGAATCACTGTCTCTGCTTTTTCTTTGTTTAATTTTAATTTTATGTAGAGACAGTGTCTCATTATGGTGCCCTGGCTGGTCTCAGACTCTTGGGCTCAAGAGATCCTCCCACCTTGGCCACCCAAAGTGCTGGGATTACAAACATGAGCCACTGCACCTGGCCTGTCTCTGAATTTCCTAGAAGGCACACCACTGTATAAAATTGGAGTATGTACCCCCTGAGAATTCTAGTCTATGTCTGATGAAGTCAATAAATCCTTCTAGAAAGGTCAGTTTGCCATTCAAAGGGAGTTCCCTTATCCCTATATCTCATAGGTCAGCCACCAGGTGTCCAACCTTATCAACTGATTCTTCTCTTTCCCTCCTAAGAAAATATTTCATCTTGGACCAAGCTTTAGTTATTGCTAAATGCTCTATTTTTTTCCCACGATTCCAACTTCTTTTCTAAGACTGAGTCTTCTCCCAAGCTACCTTACGCTGGGGCCAGCCTGACTGTCCCACCACTTAAGGGCAAGAGCAGAATTTATAAAACTGCTGACTCTGAGAACCATGTGGGGCCTTAACAATTACTTAGCCCAATTTGTTGTTTGACGTTCGAGGAAACTAAATTCCATTGAGAGAAAGTAAATTGTCACATTGTCAGAGACAAGACTGTTGGTGGAACAATCAGAATTCAAATCTAGGAATCCTAGCTCCGTGCTACAGTCTGAAGACATTAGGACAGAAGGCTCTGACAACTGTTCCATGGCTTCCTGGAATTTTGTGCTCCTAGCCTGGTAGAAAAAGAAGTACCATCTTTAAATCCTATCAACTTTAATGATATGCAGTTTTTTTCTATCATTATTAAGAGGTTTTTTTGTTTGTTTGAGATGGAGTCTTGCTCTGTCACCCAGGTTGGAGTGTAGTAGCACAATATTTTGGCTCATTGCAACCTCTGTCTCCCAAGCTCAAGCAATTCTCATGCCTTAACCTCCTGTGTAGCTGGGACTACAGGTGCATGCCACCTTGCCTGGCTAATTTTTGTATTTTTAGTAGAAATGGGTTTCACCATATTGGCCAGGTTGATCTCAAACTCCTGACCTTAGGTGATCCACCTGCCTCGGCCTCCCGAAGTGCTGGGATTACAGGTGTGAGCCACCACAGCCAGCCATTATTAAGAGTTTTGAAATCCAGAGCTCTGACCCTGTCATCCGTCAGCCTCTGTTTTGATGCATTGATTGAGAATATGGAGTTACCAAAACTGTTTCATGGAAGGAAAGATTCAACTATAACTTTAGTAATAATGATGATTTGTCTTACTTTTTATTCATTTATCCAGGTGGTATAATTTGGGTAATCAAAAAAAAAAGGCTATTTTTTTTTTCTGTTCTTTAACTCACCACATGGGAGTTTGAAAGAACCAGAGGGAAAAATCTATCAGGCCATGTTGGATGTACAAGCTGAAATACACAGTAGGTTTTCCATAAATATTTATTGAGCCTCTTGGGTCTCCCTTGTTCAGGGGATACTTTCATGAGAGATTCTAGGTATGTTCTACATACTAGATAAACGAATATAACACTGCTGCAAGATGCAATGATTTTTGCTTATTAAATATTGACCAATGAAATCTGATTCATCATGACTATGTATTTTTCTTTTTTGCTAGTGCTAAGCAAGTTTTCTATTTTATCATAATTCTCACGGGATTTTACCTATCAAGCCAAGTTTCTTCTTCTAAAGTAACAGACCTACCATTATTACATTAATCATTAGCAAGTTCAGCACAAAATTCTTCCCTGGAGAAAACATTAAAGCTATTGGAGAGATTGATAAGCAATCTGTGTGTGGTACTGTGAGATAAATACTGCCTGAAGCAGTAGAATCAATATAAAAATCCTTTTGAGGTTGTTTTAATTACGAGGGTGCCATACGCAACCATGCCTTGCATACTATTCTCCAACCCAGATCTGCAGAGTCAGGGTTAGCCTTTGTGATATGGTTTCTTTGAGGGGGTAGAGTGTCTCTGTAAAGAAAGATCAGGTAATCAGGAGCATTTAGACTTTTGCAGATTGCTGCAGGTGTCTCATCAGGAGCCTCAGGGGGATCAGGAAAGCTGACAAGATAGTTCTTAGTTGGAACAGGCTTTCACGAACTCTGCACCCAACATGCACAAACTACTGATTTCATTTAAAGGTGTTAATGTTGTGAGGGTTATTATTTTTAGCTGACACTGTGGATATTAGGCAATCAGACCCTCAATGTAGGTGTGTATGAAGAACAGAGAAAACCAGGTGCTCAGAGGGGTAGGAAAGCTAAAAGAAGGAAAATGTTTTTGGAGATATGATACTTAAAACCCAATTGAAAATGCTGATCAAAAATAAAAAAGAAATGGCTGGTAGCAGTTACGGGTCTGGGGTTTTCTTAACTTACAAATGGACAGACTCACAAATATGGCATCTCTTTTTGTTGGTGAATGTTATTTCTGAACCCCAAGGAAACTATCTACTTCTGGTATAGAAAGTATATTTTAAGAATATGTGTTTCTTTTTTGAGAAGAAATCTCTGTTTGAGATCTTTCTAAGTTTGTGACCAATGAGAATCAAGTACCTACATGGATGGGGTTAGATGTGGAGACAGCTGAGGGACTGGAAATTGGTAAAGGGAGTTTTACTTCTTATGCTTCAAGAAAAATTCATTTCTAAAATGTCATCAGTCTCTAATGAGAAGTCTAGGTTTGGGCTGACTTTCATGGAATGATTCTTCCACAGAATCAAGATAATACTGACATCAGCTTCCTTGATAGTTGATTCTCTTCCTTTTTTTCCCCAGGAGGGAAGAATGAAAAAAAGGAACAAAGTAAATTCATAAAGATAAAATGCTAGCTCTACTTGAGTTCTAGTCTCGAAGGCAAGCAGAGAATCTAATTCCAGATGAGCCATTTATAAAAAATATTTGAGATGGCATCTTGCTCTGTCATCCAGAACTGCAGTGGTGTGATCTCAGTTCACTGCAATCTCTGCCTCCTGGGCTGAAGAGATCCTCCCACTCAGCCTTCTGAGTAGCTGGGACTACAGGCATGAACCACCACACCCAGCTAATTTTTGTATTTTTAGTAGAGATGGGGTTTCTCCAAGTTTCCTAGGCTGGTCTCCAGCTCCTAGACTCAAGTGATCTGCCCACCCTACACTCTCAAAATCCTGGGATGTGTACAGGCATGAACTCTCAAAGTACAGGTGTGAATCACCACACCCAGTCCCCAGATGAAACTTTTATTATTGGTGTGGATATAGGCATGCAAATCCAACTCTTTGAGCCTCAGTCTCCTCATCTGTAAAGTGGGACTGATAATCTCTACTTGTGAAATGAGACAATGGGCGTGAAGTTTCAAGTACAGTAGGCCCATAGTAAGCACTCAATAAAAAGGTAGCCATATTGATTCTCCTGAACTTCCCATGCCCTCTCCTTCCGTCCTCATTGGCGTTCTGAGCACATGCCCTTCCTCTGCAGACTGCTCTTGCTCTCCCCTCACCCATGGTGTCCTGGCAGTCACAGCACTCCTGGGCACTGGTGGGATCAGAGGCGTTGCAGCAGTGGAGGCAGCGGCTGTTGTCCATGTGCAGCACCAGGTTGGCAGGGCACAAGGTGCAGTTCTTGGCCCCTGGTCCCTTGCATTCTGTGCAGCTCTCGTGGCATTTTTCACAGTTAAATTTCTTTCCCTGTTAAGAGCAATCAGGAGGTTCCTTTTGAGTGCAGAGGTATTAACAAGGCACTGGAGTTTCCAGATGGCATTTCATCTTGTCTCCAGAAGGAGGGCGGTGTATGGGGGACAGCAGAAGGATGGTGTGTTCTGAGCCCATTTTAACTGTGCTGGGTGAAAAAACCAACTGTCTGTGATGGGGTAGAATCATGGCTGGGCACTGCCCTTTGAGATCTGCTAGTAACAGTGGGAGAACAGATGTATAGAACAGCTTGGGTTAGGAACTGACAGCTCATGTACTCAAGGACAGCTCAGGTCAAGGACTAGTTTTATCTGGCCCACACTATTGACTTTCAGTTTAAAATATTTTGCATTCATTTCTCACATCTCAAAAGGGGGATATTTCACATGTAAATTCATTCTTAATTTCTCTTTAGAAACTAGAAGACCTGTCAACACTGGATTCATTACTCCCACATGGCAATGGCCCTGATTTTCACTCTTTTATTTGACACAATCCCTAGCACTTGCTATTTTGTCACCAACATGTAGGTGATACATCAATTTCCTTTCCTTCAAGCTTCAAGCTTATGCTGTGGTTTTCTTTGACCCAGCATGTATGTTAGTGACCTGCTCGGCCTCTGTGCTTATTGGATTCTTGTAGTGTGGCCCCGGAATAAGGTATGTTGTGGCCCTGTAGCTCAAGTAGTTAAGTCTCTATGGGAAGAGAGTAGAGAGATGAGAAGAAAGTGGCTTCCTTCCCAACAAGTTATTCCTTAACTGGCACTGGAAATGTGGGTTAGGGAAGATGCATTCCTATTTTACTTCTGTAACTTTGGAAGTATGGTATGATAGAGAAATAAAGAGGACTATAAATTGCTTTTATTGAGCACCTTGGCGTGTTTCAGGCACTGTTAAGGTTTTCTCAGCTGTGTTACCTCGTTGAATCCTGTATCTCATGTATTACCACATCCTTCAGGTTTAACCCCAGCTTTGTTACTTACCACTCATATAATCTTTCTTTTTTTTGAGACAGGATCTCACTTTGTTGCCAAGGCTGGAGTATACTGGTGTGATTGAGTTCAAGCAATCCTCCTGCCTCAGCCCCACAAATAGCTGGGACTACAGGTGTGTGCCACACGCTCGGTTAATTTTTGTATAAGATGGGGTTTCACCATATTGGCCAGTCTGGTCTCGAACTCCTCACCTCATGATCTGCCCGCCTAGGCCTCCCAAAGTGCTGGTGTGAACCACTGTGCCCAATGTGAGCTACTGTGCCTGGCTGGTAGAAGATTTTAAAATATTAAACATACACTATTTCTATAGTATGAGATTTTTGGGACTTTTTGATTGCCCGGAATGACATGAAGGAACTAAGCTCATGTTCCTCTCTGGAGAGAGCAGATGGCTTCACACCCCCTGCCCTCCATACCTCTCCCACTCTGTATTTTCCAACAAGACAGTCCGAGGTGCAGATCCCTCCCATGAGGTGGTAACTCCACACACAGGTTAGGCAATTCAACGCTCCTTTTCCTGAAAGAAGAAACACTTTAAGTTATGATATTGACCTTAGATTTCAACCTCTGTCTTTGTTCCAGAACACTTAAAAACAAGGAATATGTCAAGTAAATTGAAGAAGGGTGAATTGATTGATGATATGAAAAAGAAAAATATCTCCCACACAAAGTAAAAATAATACAATTAGTTCAATCGATGTAGATTCTCAGTCTGAAAATTGAGGATTTAGGGATGACAGATCTTTTATTACAGCAAGAGAAAAGATTTTCAGGGAATGAGAAATCATGTTGAAAGCATATAAAACCTTTGTTCATCCTCCTGCTTATTGCTTAACTAGTGTGGAGGATGTTACTAGCTGTTTGGACGATTGCAATACTCAGTGCATAAATCATGAATAGACGGTTTCTAATTGAGCAACAACACTAAACTTGGCACTTAAAATGCTAGGGCTGAAAGAATTTAGCAGCTCATTTTGTTTGGCGGTTCTTAATTTTGGGGTTGTAATGATGGTGATAGATTCCTTTGAAATTCTCTTGAATGCTGTAAGTTCTCTTCTCAGAAATTTGACATTTATTTCTTATTTATTTCTCATTTAAAAATATTAATAAATGAAAATTAAGGCCCAGACATGTAATGTCACCTATCCAGGGTTACATAGGTGGTGGTCAAGATTCAAATTCAAGTTTGCTGACTCATAACCTCTTGATCTTTCTTTTTTTGTTTTGTTTTGTTTTTTGAGATGGAGTCTCCTTATGTTGCCCAGGCTGATCTCAAACTCCTGGACTCAAGGAATCCTCTTGCCTCAGCCTCCAAGTAGCTGGGATTATAGATGTGTGCAATTGCTCCTTGCTGAGGTGCTCTTTCTACCACACCATTTGCCTTATCACATGAGCCACCAAATAGAGGGGTTGGAATCTACAGCCTCTGTTTCCTATGGAGGCAGTACTCTTCTCTCCTAACTCAGACACCCCAAAAAGGACAGGCCCAGACATGTTTTCTATGCAGGTGTCAAGGGATAATAACTTCTGGAAACTTTGGGGATAGGAGACCTAAATCTAGCTCATTCTGTTAGGAATGCCTGAGCATTTTTGCTGTTAATTTTAAAATGGGAGCATCAGATTAATGGGCATAGAATATGCCTGGTATTGTAAGTTGGAACTTGATATAGGTCTTCCCATCAGAACAATCCTGTAAAGGGTGGTTTTTGAACTTGAAGTAGAACCATGAATCTGTCCTTTACATTCACAATGTAGTTACATTGACTTTTCATGGCTGATCTGTGAGCTCAATCATTTATAATGCTTCTGTGGAAAAATTAATTCTGAGCTCTAACAACAGCTTAGAGAATAAACACCTTTACTACTGAACTGCTTCTTAGATTGGAAGCTGCCTGTAGTGATATAAACCACTTTAGTTTTACCTTAGCTCTAGCTTCATACAGAATTTCCTGCATGTTCGGGAACATTATTGTGGTCTCCGATGGAAAAATCAATCTTCTCTTATTTTCATTGTTCCTTTTTCCCATTCTACATTTTTCTAAAATATAGCTTAGATGTCTTACTTCAGTTTTTAACACAAAAGAGAGTTTTTTTTTAATGATGAGAAATTAAGGGTAGATACATGCTCTCACTTTAATGTGGAATCTAAAACAATTGAACTCATAGAAGTAGAGAATAGAACGGTGGTTACCAGAGGCTGGGGGGACTGGGGAGATGGTGGTCAAAGGTTATAAGGTTCTAGTTAGACAGGAAGAATATGTTGTTGGAATCTACTATATCTTGTGATGATACTTAATAATATACATTCAAAATTGGTAAGAGTAAATTTCAGATGTTCTTATCACAAAAATGAGTAAGCATTTGAGGTGACAAACTCGTTTTTTCTTCTCCAACTGCCTTCACAGGAAACAGAGGCTGTAAGCTTTGGACCTCCTCTATCTGGTGGCTAAGGCAGATAGTGTGGTAGAAAGAGCACCTCAGCAGGGTGCAATTGCACACATCTGTAATCCTGGGCTGTTGCCCAGGCTAGATTGCAATGGTGTAATCATGGCTCACTTCAGCCTCAACCCTTGGGATCAGGTGATCCTCCTACCTCAGCCTCCTGAGTAGCTGGGACTACAGGTGCACGTACCATATGCAGCTAATATATATTATTTATTTTTACTTTTACTTTTGAGACAGACTCTTGCTTTGTCACCCAGTGGTGTGATCTGGACTCACTGCAACCTCTGCCTGCCAGGTTCAAGCAATTCTCCTGCCTCAGCCTCCTGAGTAGCAGGGACTACAGGCATGCACCACATCTGGCTAATTTTTTGTATTTTCAGTAGAGATGAGGTTTCACCATGTTGACTAGGCTGGCCTTGAACTCCTGACCTCAAGTGATCCTCCTGCCTTGGCCTCCCAAAGTGCTGGGATTACAGGCATGAGCGACTGTGCCTGGCCACATTTTGTTTATTTTTTGTAGAGATGAGGTCTCACTATGTTGCCCAGGCTGGTCTCAAATTCCTGACCTCAAGTGATCCACCCACCTTGGCCTCCCAAAGTGCTGGGATTACAGGTGTGAGCCACTGTGCCTGGCCTGATGGACATGTTAATTAACTTGACTTAATTATTCCACATGGTATACATAGATTATGACATCAATTTGTACCCTATAAATATATATAATTATAATTTGTCAACTTACAATAAAATAAATTAAAAGTAGAAAACACCAAAAGAGGGGAACAGGCCATAGCTACGTTAGGTCACAAAATTCCTACCTTAACATTGGTTACATTTTTTTTTTGAGACGAAGTTTTACTCTCATTAGTAGAGATGGGGTTTCACCGTGTTGGCCAGGCTGGTCTTGAACACCTGACCTCAGGTGATCCACCCACCTCAGCCTCCCAAAGTGCTGAGATTACACACATGAGCCACTGTGCCTGGACATGGTTTGTTACATTTTTCTCAAAGACCAACAATAAATTGTCTGAGGCCCAGATCCCAGGCAATATCCAAGGGCACTACATGTCAGCTTTGGGTGACAAATCAGGGACTTCATTTACATCTCCTACACTGATTTATTGCCAAACCTGCACACTTAGGGTACCCAGAATCTTTTGCAAAAGGCAGTTTGTTAATTTCTAGAATGCGTTCTGTTATTTTAAAGTTTAATATAGTACATCTATCATTGCTTCTAAGGATCTGCAGGGGCTTTGGGACCTAAAAGACAGGCATTTTGGCATTGCTTTAAAACTCAGAGCAGCTCACCATCTACTCTCCTTCAGACTGAACCCCATGGGATGAATTTAAATGCGAAGCAACTTCTGAGCTCTGTTCATGAGCCTCAGTCCCCACAGAAAGATGCATCTTGGGAGAGTTAAGAAGCTTTGGTTACTCAGCCTGGATTTTGATTCCAAACCATTTTATGAGGAGAAGAAACAATAACACAAAATCAAAAAACAAAAACAAAATAGAAAAAATAAAATTTTATGAGGAGGATAAGTAAAAAGTTAAGTATGTAAAGGCAAGGAATGAGCTAATTATGGAGGTATCAGTTACAGAGAAAGGTACATATTAGGCCTGAGTGTGCTACATTTTCCCAGTCTACCCCTCCTTCCATGCTTTTACATATTTTTCTTTTCAATATCTTAAAATTGTTGGGCAGTCCAAAGTGAATAAAATACATAATTGGTAATTTCTTCTTTAGGTTGCAAATTTTTTCCTGATTCTTTCATGCATCCTCATTTCTTACTATGAGAGCTAATGACTTAAGAAGGAAGGAACTCATCTTTTCTTTTACCTAGTTTATTCTCCTGAGAAAAACCTGTCTCCAGATTTTGTATCTATATGCTGCAAAACCAGATGATTAGCACAACATTTTCCTAGCCAGCAAGGGACATATGTGCTATAGTAAAGAAAGGATTGCTCACTGCAAAGAATTATAAGAAAAAATAACTTTAAATAAAAAACTTAAATTAAAAAAAGAATGATAGCAGGAAAAATGAGTATCAAAGAGAACTTCAACTGGGCAAGTCCATGGGTTGATGTCAAATACGGAAGGAAGAGGTACGAACACTCCAGAGGGCTGCAAGATTCATCCACTAACTCCTGTTCTAGAATGTTTTCTATTATTTTAAAGTTTAACACCCTACAGATACGTTAAACTTCATTAATTTTTATTTTTGAGACAGAAAATTTTTTAGTTTTGAGACAGACTCTTGCTTTGTTGCTCAGGCTGGAGTACAGTGATAGATCTCAGCTCACTGCAACCTCTTTCTCCCAGGTTCAAGCAATTTTCCTGTAATTCTCATCCCTTGAATACAATCTCATGGATACTGTGAGGATGAACTTTTGAGACTGGTAATGCCCAAACCATCATCCTTGATTCACCCAGGAAATCTCAAACCCAAATAAAGACATGTATAGTATTTCTATAGTATAAAGCCACAGTAACCAAAATAGCATGGCACTGATACAAAAACAGATACATAGACCAATGAAAAAGAATAGAGAACCCAGAAATAATGCCACACACCTACAACCATCTGATTTTTGACAAAGTTGGCAAAAATAAACAATGGGAAAATGAATCTCTGTTCAATAAATGATGCAGGGATAGCTGGCTAGCCATATGCAGAAGAATAAAACTAGACCCTTTACAATCACCATATAGGTGATAACTCAAGATGGATTAAAGATTTAAATGTAAGACTTCGGCCAGATGTGGTGGCTCATGCCTGTAATCCCAGCACTTTGGGAGGCCAATGTGGGCTGATCACCTGAGACCAGGAATTTGAGACCAGCCTGGCACGCATGGTGAAACCCAGTCTCTACTAAAAATAGAAAAATTAGCCGGGCTTGGTGGTGTGTGCCTCTAGTCCCAGATAGGAGGCTGAAGCAGGAGAATTGCTTGAACCTGGGAGGCAGAGGTTGTAGTGAGCTGAGACTGCACCACTGCACTCCAGCCTGGCCAACATAGCAAGACTCTGTCTCAAAAACAAAACAAAAATACACCAGGGATGGTGGTGTATGCCTGTAGTCCCAGTTACTTGAGAGGCTGAGGCATAAATATTACTTAAACCCAGGATGTGGAAACTGGAGTGAGCTGAGATTGCATCACTGCACTTTAGTCTGGGAAACAGTGTGAGACTCTGTCTCAAAAATAAAATTAATAAAATAGATGGGACCAATAGACACTGGGAAATACAAGAGCAGGGAGAGAAGGAGTGGGGCAAGAGTTGAGAAACTACATATTGGGTACTATGCTCACTACTTGGGTGACAGATTCATTTATACTCCAAGCTTCAGCATCATACAATCTACCTTTGAAACAAACCTGCACATATAACCCCAATCTAAAATGAAAGTTGAAAAAAATATATTGTTTTTCCAACTGTGCTTACAATATCATGAATCATTTCTCTAATCCCCACAAATAACTTCAAAGGCTGGTGTTGTCCTGTTTTGTCTGGTTGCCAGTAAAAGACATTAGCTCACCTAATGATGGCTGCCTAATCTTAATTAGAAACCAAGTACCCCCTACTGCACTGAGCTGCTCACTGCACAACACTAGTGGTTGGAATTAGGGTTGTCAGATTCCACAAATGAAAATAAAGTATTTTATCAGGCAACTCTATTTGAAATAAAGGTCTCACACATCCAATAATCATGGTAACAGAGATAAGTTCAACTTTTCAAAAAAAATCAAATAGCCAATATTGACCACCACGTGGCCAATGACAGTATCAGCTTTCTACCACTCCCATTCCACCCCAATTCAGTGTATTTTCTCTCATCTGTTATCTAATTCTGGTTAGATGTTTTGAGCATTAACCACATGTGTTTCTGGAATGAAAAAGAGATAACATGGCTTAATGAGTAGTTACTGCTGTTTGGAAGGCTAATTCTTTCACGGGCAGGAGTCAATTGCGAATGGGCACAGACTGGGAACCACTATATGGTAAAATTTTTATGGAGCTGCCTTAGGGGCTTCCTGGGAGTAGTGGAGAGGGGCATCAGATGGGGCTCTGAGGTGGTTCCTCTGCTTCCACCCAAACAGCTCTGCCTGGATCAGTTTACCTAATACGGTTCAGCCTCAGATTTTATCTGAGGAATGTGGCCACTGCTAAAATACCATTTGAAACCATTGCTCTAGATTATTACTGTGTGTCCAATACAGTAGCCACTACAGGTGGCAACTGAGCACTTGAAATATGGCTAGTGCAACTTGAGTTGTGCTGTACATGTAAAATAAAACATCTCTGTAACATGTATGTAGATTACATGTTCAAATATTTTGGATAAATGTGTACAATTAAAATTATACTTATTTTTATTTTTTAAACATGACTAATAAAAATTTTAAATCACGTTTTCTTTCTCTTGGACAGTGCTGATACACCACTATGTACAACTACACAAATTAAACTAGCCTGGGCTGCAGGGACCTTGGCTGGTTTGTTCACGGTTGTATGAACATTGCGCCATAAAAAAATGGATGAATGAATACACAGAGTGCTAAAGGAATATAGAACGAAGGGTCTAGGGGAGGCTTTCTGGAGGAAGTGATGACTCTAATGGATCTGAAAGAGGTACCCAGGCAGAGCAGGCTGGAGAAAGTAATCCAGAGAGAGAAAGTGGGTGAGGTTGGCTCAGGTTTACAGCAACTAACTATGCGTGGATTAGAGGATAGGAGAGGAGATGGTGAGAGATGAGGCTGAAGATGAGAAGAGATCTGTGTTGACAGGCCTCATATGCAAAGATACTAAATTAAAATTCTATCCTGGCCAGGTGTGGTGGCTCACACTTGTAATCCCAGCACTTTGGGAGGCTGAGGCAGGTAGATCATTTGAGGTCAGGAGTTTGAGAGACCAGCTTGGCCAACATGGCAAAACCCTGTCTCTACTTAAAATATATATATATAAAACAAAATTAACCAGCTGTGGTGGTGTGTGCCTGTAATCTTAGTTACTATGGAGGCTGAGGCAGGAGAATCACTTGAATCCAGGAAGCAGAGGTTGCAGTGAGCCAAGATTGTGCCACTGCACTCCAGCCTGGGTGACAGAGCAAGACTCTGTCTCAAAAACAAAACAAGATTCTATCCTAAGTTCAGTGGAGAGTTGTTTTTAAGTGGAGGTCAGTCACTATATTTGTTGTTTAAAGAGATCAGTCTAAGAGCCTATGGAAGACTGATTTATTACAGGCTGACCAATGCTAAAGCTAGGAAGACCAACTAAATAATTGGTAAACTATTCAGATAATGCATGGTGAGTCTGAACTATGGCAGTGACACTAGAATACCAAGAGAGTGGAGATGGAGTTAGGAGATATTTAAGGGGTAGATTTGGCAAGATTTGGGGACAAATTGAATGTGGGGATTGAGAGAGGGGGAGGAGCAGAGGGTAATGGCCAGGTTACAGTCTCAGGCAACTGGGTGAGTGGTGGAGCCATTTAACCAGATAGGGAGCATCAGAACGAGTGGTTTGGGAGTGTGGTGAGTAGTTGGAGGTCTCTGTTGAGCATCCAATTAGAGATATTCCATTAGCAATTGTATGGAACTGGAGCTCAGGAAAACCATTTGGGAAAAAGACAGATTTGGAGATACCAAGACATAGGTAATATTGGAAGCCACCTTAAACTTGGAGATGGCTTTATTCACATGTACTTGGGAAGAAGTTATTTTAAAATATAATGTCATCAAGACACTCTTCAGGAGTTTCAGCTCAGTAGCTAAACAGAAACATGCTGATGGTCTTCTTCCAGTGTGGGGAAATATGTGATTTCTCATCTTGTTTTCCCTAATTCTTGGCATTTCTATGTCATCAACCTATTGCCTCAAGATGAATCATTTTGGAAGGAAACAACAACCACCACCACCAGGATTAGAAGCAGGCTCTAACAGGTTGGCCTTTGCTTGTTTCATCTAAAAGTCTTAAGTGTCCCTCCTGCCATCCCACCAGGCATTTGGATTAATAGAGTGAGGCTGGGCAATAATTTAGGGTATAATCCTCTTCTAAGAATCTCATTATCCATTAGTAACACATATGCATTAAAAATAATATTTTATAAGTTCAAGTTCTGATATCCCATCCACATTAAACATAATGAAATCATAGAATAAATATAAAGAGAGAAAACAAACAAAAGATAGATAGATGGCCTTACAAAGAAAATGAAATCTGTTTGGAACATGAAGAAAATATCAATGCTAAATGGTAGTCAGATTCAAGGCATCCACCTTCTCTGCTCCAGGACTAGAAGTAGGCAATGGTGGCTGCGAGTTCACCTTTTCTACCAAAATAGGAATTAAAAGTGTTTTACATAAGACCAGGACCAAAATCTAGGCTTAGAGCTTAAATCGGGAGTCAGGTTGAGACTCTGCCTTCGTAGACATAACTTCCTGACGAGAACTCTCCTGAGCTCCTAATTGAATTGCTGATGGGATCTGTGCTGTCATCAACATCACCTCCAGGAATACTGGAACATCTTGTTTCTGGACTGAGTTTCAGGTTGGAGAGAAGGATAGAGTTAGTGAAAAAATATCTGGACTATGAGAAGTAAAGATAAAAGAAGAGATAGAGGGAGTAAAGAACCAAAACCAAAACATTTCATTTACAATGAGCTTAAGACCAGCATTCCAAAGTATATAGATAAAATGAATGCTAAGAAAGACGACAGGCCAGGTGCAGTGGCTCATGCCTGTAACAACAGAACTTTGGGTGGCCAAGATGGGAGGATTGCTTGAGCCCAGGAGTTCAACATCAGCCTGTGCAACATAGCGAGACCTCATCTCTATTATAAAATAAAGTTTAAAAAGAGATGATAAACACAATAAACAATTAGAACATGAATTTACATCAGATAATACTGATATCATAAAGACATTTGACAAAGTCTTTAAAATTGGTATGTTTAAGATGCCCGTAAATAAATGAAGACATAGTATCTATAAATAAATTATAAGACACAAAAAGATCAAAAATAAAAATGGATAAGAAAAAGAAACAATTAGAAACCTTTTTTCTTTCTTTCTTTTTTTTTTCTTTAAGGCATGGTTTCACTCTGTCACCCAGGCTGGAGTGCAGTGACACAATTACAGCTCACTGCTGCCTTGACGTCCCTTGCTCAAGTGATCCTCCCACCTCAACCTCCCGAGTAGCTGGAATTACAGTTGTGTGCCACCATGTCTGATAATTTTTGTATTTTTTTGTAGAAACAGGATTTCGCCATGTTGCCCAGGCTGGTCTCAAACTCCTGGGCTCTAGGGATTCTCCTACCTCAGCCTTCCAAAGTGCTGGGATTACAGGTATTAGCCACTGCAACTGCCAATTAAAAATCTCAAAAGTAAAAATATAGTCACTTAAAAACAAAAAAATAGATGGGTTGGACTTTAGACTGAACACAGAGAACAAATCAGGGAATGAAATGGAGTGCCGGAGAATTAACCTAGTATAACTCACATAGAGTCAAAGGGGTAAAATATAAAAGAGTAGGTAGGATACAAAGACAGGTCAATAAACTCTAAATTGCATTTAATAGAAATTACACAAAAGGATATTGGAGAGGAGAGTAAAGAAACAATTTTTGGAGGTCTAATAGCTGAACATTTTTTCATTTGCAAAAAGACATTAGGAGTATGTCTTCCTATTCATTCATTCATTCAGTGAACACTTAATGAACACTTATGTTTTATACTCTAGAGTAGAAACAAGGGATACACAATGAAGTAGTATAATCCTTGCCTTTGCTTGGGGGGCTCACAATTAGTAGGAGAGATGGACATGTTTAATTAAAATGTAATCTAAAATTTCTATGAGAAAGCAATGTATTACAGAATTAAGGAGGACGAATACTCCTGGGAGGACTAACAAAAGCTTCACGCAGGAGATGGGATGATACTCAAGATGAATCTTTAAGTTGAGAGTTCCCTAGAGCATTGTTCTTCAGGAAGACGAAACAAAGTCAACAGAGGCATGAAAGAGCATGGCATATTTGGTGGCTGCTGAGTGGTTCTGGGTAGTTCTAGGTGGTTCCAGCTTCTAGAATACATGGAAGAAGAGTCCTTAAGACATATGTTAGAGACTGTTGGGAAAATCTTAATCAACTTTTAAAGATAAAAGCACTTATGGGCCTGAGCCTTGGCTCACATCTGTAAATCCCAGTACTTTGGGAGGCCAAGGTGGGTAGATTACGAGGTCAGGAGTTTGAGACCAGCCTGACCAACCTGATAAAACCCCATCTCTACTAAAAATACAAAAATTTTCCAAGTGTGGTGGCGCACACCTGTAAGCCTAGCTACTCAGGAGGCTGAGGCAGGAGAATCGCTTGAAACCAGGAATTGGAGGTTGCAGTGAGCTGAGATTGCACCACTGCACTCCAGCCTGGGTGACAGAGCAAGACTCCATCTCAAAAAAAAAAAAAAAGAAGAAGAACAAGAAAGAAAACACTTATTAAAAGTTTTTTGAAGGTTAATAAGGAAATGCATAGAATGGAGAGATCTACCATATTTATAAATACAATAACTCAGGATTATAAAGATGGGGTTTTCTCCAAAATAAATTCAATGTAATGCCACTCAATATCCAAATAGTTTTTAAAAATGAACAATTAAAAAAATGAAACTTGACTGATTATATATTTACATAAAAGAACTAAAAATAGTCGAGATAATTTTGAAAAGAACAGGAATGTACCCTACCAGGTAATACATTTTTCTAGAAAGTTTTTTTTTAAGTGAATCAAACACATTGCTTTATTTTAACATCAAGCTACTAATAGTAACACTGTGGCATGGTCCCAGTAGAAGATATTAAAATATGCATATACACATAAAGCTGAGAATATGGGTATGGGAATTACAGAAAACATCAAAAAGTCCTCTCAGCTATTCCCCAGAGGATTTTCCATAACGTTTCAAGGTAGCCAAGTTGGCAGAAGGGTGGCCACCCAGGTTCACCGCGGAGTTCCTATTTTGACCGTACGGTTATTCAGAAAAGAGTAGCCGGACACCATTTTCAAGTCCTCCCGACAGGACACAGCCACTTTTCTCTGCATAGCGAACTCCCTAAAAGCGCTCGACTTACCTGGCAAGAAACCTGCCTCCAAGAAGTGGCAGCGTGAGGACAGGAGTCTGGACGCGCATTGTGGGGAGAACCACGGAGCAACCTGGGCATCTCTTACGCCCCGCGTCTCAAACACCCCGGTCCCCAAGTCTCCACACATCGCGGTTGCGCTCGGGCCAGCGAGGCCAAGCGGCCGCGGGGAGAACAACCTCTGCCCTCGCCGGGGAGGGCCTTATGGCGGGAGGGGGCAGCGGGAAAGGAAAGAGAATCTGAGCCGAGAAGGCGCCGACAGGCCTGGGTGAAAGCGGTGCCACCCACCTGCGCGACCTCTTCGCCATCCTTCAAGTACGGCCTAGGGGCGGGCTGGACGGGGACGCGGGTCAGCCTCCTCTAGCCTCCGGCGAATGCTCCTTCTCCCTGACCCTCTAGCCGCGTCCCTCGCTCCCTCCGAAGGCAGCCGAGTGGGGAACGCAAGTCCTAGGCAGGGCGCGACGGAGGGACAGCGGGGCGGACCGCGACCCTCCCCCGGCCCCGGCCCGCAGCGCTGCTCCTAGACCAGGCCCGGCCCGTCCAGGGATGCCCCCAACACGTCAGGAGGCGCGCTCCAGCCCTCCGCCGGCCTAGCCCACCGCTTCTCAGCCTCCCTGCCCGGGTCCCAGCGCGACTCCGCCACAGGCGCCGACCCCCGCCCTCTCCCCGCAGCTAGCAGTTCTGCAGGGATCGCAGCTTCCTGCAGGCTTTTGTCCGCACCGCCGAATCTCGCGATCTCGCGCGCAGCGGCCTCGAAAGTTTTAACAAAATGTAGACGTACTTCTTTCCTAAATATTGAGAAGCATTCATGGTGATCACATTTACGGAAAGATGTAAAGAAAAATGAGAAATTTGAATTTTAGGACAATCATTCTGTCATTAGTGTACCAGATGACCTGGTGTGGGGGCAAGATTCAGAAGTGGTGACCAGCCAGCTGTTTCAAAAGGTGTGATACTAGATACTGAGAATGGAAAATGAGGATAGTGAGAATGGAAGAAGATGTCATTAGATAACTATTTGGGAAAGAGAATCAACAGACCTTGAAGTTTCGCTTTGTTGGAGGTGGGTGGGTTGGGCGGGCATCAAGGGAAGGAGTCAAGGAGAACTTCAAAGTATTGGCCCAGGCTCGTGGGTAGATGGTGAGCCTTAAGGATCTCTGGGACAGACAACTAGGCTTCTGTAAAAGAGGCATGGAGCTTGGGAGAGTTTGAGGCAGAAGTCTCAGGGAATAGTGAAAGTAATGAAAATAAACAAGTTTCCCTCAGTGATTCAACAGGTAGAGTAGGAAAATGATGAGTGGGCGAACAATACTTCCTCAAGGAGATGATGCCTGTCTCTGGGCCTTGAAGGATGGGGGATGGGCAGGAGCAGCCCAGGTTAGAGGGAAGATGGGGAAGTTAAGAGCAAATGATGCTGGAGAGGATGATACATGAGGCGAGAAAGCAAGAGGAACCTCCAGGTGGTGAGAAGAGAGAAAGGGGCAAAGAAGGAAGAAAAACTTTCATTTTTCTATACCACATGCAAAATGTCAGACAGACTCTCAACTTTGCATTGATCACAAGTTGGATGGTATCTCTCACAGGTCTGTGTCCTTTGCTCGGCATAATAATGGTCTGGGCAGGTGCGATGACATTCTCCTTTAGAGCTAAGTAGAAAGAAAAATGTATCGCAAGACAGGCAGTCTGTGGGCTGTGGGCCCTGGCACGTCTTGCAGCTCCTGTTCCACTTCTCACACTGGCCAGTGGAGTTTTCTGCATAATATCTGAAACCAAGGGAGAAGAAAAGATGGAATATGAAGCTTTGCTCCTAAATTGGTTGCGGTGGAAAACATGGTAGTCAGGTTTCATTTAAAAGCTGGGTGACTTTCACCTCTTTACCTTACTCATTAGATCACTGCTAATGCCACTAATGAATCCAATGATTCCCAGTGTTCTTACCTGTAAATTGGGCCAATCTCTACCCTACTATTTGTGAAAATTAAATTGGGTAACACATATGAAAAGACCTAGTGCTTATCACACCTTGTAGCACCTACATCATCACTAGCTACCATTGCCTTTTTGTTTCAGGTGTGCCTCTCCAAATTCATGCTTTAAGTTGTGGTTAATAGGGGGCATCAGGGAATGGAAGGATTTTTTTTTAATAGAGATGTGTATCTCACTATGTTGGCCTGGCCATTCAGAGATACATTTAAAAGATCCATCCAGGCCAGGTGCAGTGGCTCACACCTGTAATCCCAGCACTTTGGGAAGTTAAAAGAGAGTAAAGAAATTCTTTCTAAGGATGAACTTCTAAATGTCATCTGATTCATCTCTGTATCTCTAGACATCAGCACACTAAACCTATCCTAGAAACCTAAAGATTCATCTTTGGTTTCTCTGGTGCAAAACTATAGGTCCCAGTAGGCTTTTTTTGGTAGACTAATTCAGCTCCATGAACTTGATGAAAACTCATCCCGTGCCTAGGTCATGGTGAGCCTTCCTCTATTTAGCCATCTGTCACTGATCTGAGTTAGTACACTTGTACCTCAGTGGCCCAGCTTGTCGTAACTTGAGACTTGCTTCACTTTCTGCAGTTATGTGAAGAACAATGACTACCATGTGTCAATCTGTAAGACTGAGGTACCTGAGAGACAAGGCGATAATGAACTGAATAGTTGACAAAGATCACATTAGACTCAAGAAACCATCAAGGAAAAGTGAAATCTACACAGAGCAGAGGGAATACATGGGATTAGAGTCAGAAGATCAAATTTTTACTCCTGACTCTGCCATGTATTAGTAGCTACGTGACTTTGGGCAAGTCACTTACCCCTCTTAGGTTCACAAACCCTCCTCCCAGGTTCACTTACAGTTTCTTCATCTGTAAAATGAAGAGAACTCATATCAGCCTCATGAGATTGTCACAGAATTAAATCATAATGTAAAGACACATTGTGAGTGGAAATACTTTGTAACTCTTAAGCAGCATCCCCAATTTTTTTAACCTAATGTTCTTATTATAGATTGTTATAAAGATGAAAAGCATCAGTAGGAACTCTGGGAAAGAAAGCATATCAATTCCAAGTAGGTTTTTAATATTATCAAGAAATAATGCCGAAAGACAATGAAGAGTTTATCGGGTCAGATTAAAAGAGTGCAATACCGGGGTCCAAAGTGGCTGCCGCCGGAGGTCATGGCGCTTGTGAAGGCGAGGTCATCAGTTCAAGGCTAACCTGAGCAACCTCATAAGTTCAAACTGATTGGCAAAAAAAAAAAAAAGAGTGCAATACCACTGCTTGCTCTGAGGACTCATCTCTTGAGCCTCCCAGCCTTGAAAATCATCTCATGCATAAGCACAAGCAGTAACCCAGGCTTCAAAGAAACTTCTCTGAGTTAAACACCAAAATAATTATGTAGGTTGGGATAGGGTGCAGAGAAATATGTATCTACTTTTCCAAGGCAGAGGTTTAACATAAGAGGCTTATGGCAAGCATGTGGAACACTGATTTTATAAAAGGAAGAGTTCTCCTCATACACCTCATGAATATTCCATTTCTTCTTTATTAAAGAGATCTATGACAACCTGTGCCTCTCCCCATCAGCCCTGGGTAATTTCACATGCTGTGGAACAATTGTCTTCTTAATTCCATAGTCTGCATTCTATTTAGATCACGAGATGATCAAGCACCCTTTTTGTGCTTGAGAGTATTTACTGGCTAGATTTGAGGAAGATGGGATCCAGATCTTTGTAGACACTTACTATGGTGATGCAGAAGGGCTAAGCCAGGTAGCTTCATCCCTGTCTCTTTTTTTTATTTTTGTTGTTGTTGTTGTTGTTGTTGTTTTGAGACAGGGTCTTGTTCTGTTGCCCAGGCTGGAGTGCAGTGGTGTGATCTTGGCTCACTGAAACCCACCTCCCAGATTCAAGCAATTCTTATGCCTCTGACTCCTGAGTAGCTGGGATACAGGCACCAGCTAACAGACCCTGCTAATTTTTGTATTGTTAATAGAGACAGAGTTACACCATGTTGGCCAGGCTGGTCTTAAACTCCTGGCCTCGAGTGGTCTGCCTGCCTCAGCCTCCAAAAGTGCTGGAATTACAGGCAAGAGCCACTGTGCCCAGCTATCCATCCCTGTTCCTGTCTGTCAGGGCCCTTTCTTCCTTGATCTATATAGCTGGTGCTTTTCCTTTTTTCCAAGATACGGTCTTGCTCTGTCACCCAGGCTGGAGTGCAGTGGTGTGATCTTGGCTCACTTCAGCCTCTGCCTCCCGGGTTCAAGCAATTCTGCTTCAGCCTCCCAAGTACCTAAGATTACAGGTATGTGATACCATGTCATGCTGATTTTTGTATTTTTAGTAGAGACAGGGTTTTACCCTGTTGGCCAGGCTAGTCTCGAACTCCTGACCTTGTGATCTGCCCTCTTTGGCCTCCCAAAGTGCTGGGATTACAGGCATGAGCCACCGTGCCCAGCCTGGCTGGTGTTTTTCAAGAGCTGCTAACTGTGGCTCTGTGCTGAGTGTTGTAGAAGCAAATGTAAGAAAGAAGAGGTGTTTTTCTTCCAGGAGTTTATAATTTTTGGGGGACAGGCATATAGGAATAAAAATAAACTCTAAAAGGTCAGTGATATGGTTTGGCTCTATGTCCCACCCAAATCTCATCTTGAATTGTACTCCCATAATTCCCATGTGTTGTGGGAGGGGCCTGGTGGGAGATGGTTAGATTGTGGGGGCAGTTTCCCCCATGATGTTCTTGTGGTAGTGAATAAGTCTTACGAGATCTGGTGGTTTCATAAAGAGAAACCCATTTTGCTTGATTTGCATTCTCTCTCTTTGCCTGCCACTATCCACATAAGATGTGACTTGCTCCTACTTGCCATCCACCATGATTGTGAGGCCTTCCCATCTGCCTGGGACTGTAAGTCGAATTAAACCTCTTTCATTTGTAAATTTCCCAGTCTTGGGTATGCCTTTATCAGCAGCGTGAAAACAAACACAGTCAGTCTTTGTCTTGCTCATCTTATTCATGCATACAAAGTGCTTGTCATGAAACGTGTTAAATAAATAAGTGAATGAATGAGATAAATCGAAATGCAAGGCAGCATATGGCACTAAAATGAATAAAATAAGCAGTAACTGCTATAGGACTGAAGAGACGTGTCTATTTGGGAGAAAGTATTTGAAGAAGGTCTAAGGTTACAGCCCTCTATTTGGGTCTGGAAACTCCCAATGCCCTAGGTTATTGATTGGGTAGAAAGAGTCAGAAACAGGCCTATCATCAATCTTTTATCCCTTCCTGGGAATGCCCAAGGGGAAAAAACAGGATGACTGGGTCAAACCCTCTTCCAAATATGCTGGCAATCAGACCTTCTGGTAACACAGTTTTTCCTAGCAGAAAAATAATAGAGTCCTTATCTGTGAAATGCTTTTAGAGAGATACATCAAGTGTGTGTCTAGGTTGTTAATGATAACAAAACTTGTAATCTGTGGATTTATGGAGGGCATGACAGGTTGGGGAATTAATGGGGAATAAGTGGAGATGTTAATGGAACTGTTTCCTTTGTAAATCAATGTTGCACATGCACTGCTCACCTCACATAAGCAGGTTGGGAGAATGTGAGTCCCTGAATTTTAAATCTGAATCTGAACAAATCCAGAAACTGAAGAAAAAGAACCTCCATTAATGGTCTTGGGCTTCTCTGAGGAAAGGATGCTTTGCCTCTGCCTTGTGATTGCTGAGACCTTTCCCAAATTGTTTTAATTTTTAGAAACAAGGTCTTGCTCTGTCACTGAGGCTGGAGTGCAGTGGTATAATCATAGCTTACTGCAGTCTCCAACTCCTGGGTTCAAGTGACCATCATCCCCAACCTCAGCTCCCATAGAAGCTGGGGCTATAGCCTCATGGCTCCATGCCCAGCTAATCTTATCTTAATATTTTACAGATTGGGGTCTCACTATGTTGCCCAGGCTGGTTCAAACTCCTTGCCTTAAGTGATCCTCCAGCCTCAACTTCCCATGCCAGTGGGATTACAGGCATGAGCCACAGTGCCAAGCTGTCAATATGCTTTGAATTATCAGTGAGGACTGTTGCTGAGGAAGATCAATTGCTCATGTGACTCTGGCCGGACAATCTGACCCTTTGTGTTAACTCATTGGGTCACTCTGCCTCTCCTGTTTCTCTTCTGTTATGGTGAATTGGTTCATCTTTGCTCCTTACTAGCACTGAGACTTCAACCTGGTTTTTTAAGTGTTCTAAATCTTAGTTTCCTCATTTGTAAAATGGGTTGATATCTGGTGTGGCTGTGGAATTACATGGGGGAAATGTATCGAGCACTTACCCTTCCCTACACTGGAGCAGGCACTCTTTTCCCAGCTGAAACCAGCCCAGGTGGCAGGAGTGGCACTGCCTGCTATGTCTCCCGTCACATGTCCTGCAAGAGCTGTGGCAGCGGGCACACCGGTGACTGTCCTCATCGGCATAGTAGCCCTCTGGGCAGTCCTTCACACAGGTTGTGTCTGTCAGGGGAGGAAAAAAGTCTTTCTGGACATCAAGCATGACAGGTCTCCCCTCTGTTATCCCTCCTATGTGCCATGGTGGGAGGAAGGAGAGGGCTCCAGGAGGAATGGAACAATGTCCCTGTGAGTTGATGGATATGCTTGGGAACTAAGGTGAGTGCCCCAGAAACAGAACTGCCCTAAGGCCATGAGGAATACCAGGAAAACAGAGGTCACAGTGGATTAGCCGTGGTGAGTAGAACAGAAACTACAGTCCAGTGACTGTGGATGTTGGCAACGGCTCAATGTCCAGCTCATGTATCCGATTAACTAGAGGGAAGCCCCAGTTTCCTAAAGGAAAAACACCTCTATATTGGTCTCTTATTGCTGTTCTTACAAAGTATCCCCACCTTGGGGGCTTGAAACAACAATTGATTACTGTTCTGGAGGTCAGAAGTCCAAACAGACCCACAGGACTCTGTTCACTTTAGAGGCTCTAGGAGGGAATCTGTTTCATTTCCTTTTCCACTTAGTAGAGTTCACTGCATGCCTTGGCTCATGGCCCCTTCTTCAGTCTTCAAAGGCAGCAGTGCAGTATCTTCTCTCTGTCCCTGTGCTTCTGATCACATCACCTTCTACTACCGGCTCCAATCACCTGGCATCTCTTTTATCAGACCCTTGTGATGGCATTGGGCCTATGTGGATAATTCAGGATAATCTCTCTATGCCAAGATCCTTAATTAAATCACAGCCACAAAGTCCCTTCTGCCAAACAGAGTAATACATTGACAGGATCTGGGGATTAGGATGTGACATCTTCAGGACAGCCATTATCCAGTCTACCACAACATCCAAAAAAGTATCTAGTTTATAAATAGCCTAACCCTGGTGGTGTGGGGAAGGGTGGAGAGAATGTGAGGAGACCAGGCTGGGCAAATCTGGGCCCATCCCCAGGGGGCTACAGCTCTGTGTCCTACAGCAGCACTGAAGCCTCAGTTCTAATCTACAGCCTCCGTTGAGGGGAAGACCACTTTGTAGAGGCCAGGAGTCTTCCTCTCTGTATGAAGACATCTGAGATGATTACCAGTGGTATTCTAGATTGGAGATAAGTAGAAAAGAAAGTCCCAAGGATTGAGATTACATGGGAGACGTGGCTGGAGGGAATGCTTTTGTGAAGCAGCAACTGCTGGGGAGGAGAGTCACAGAGATTTGTGGACCAGGAGCTAAGGCAGCTGGAGACAGAAGACTGGTCTCCTTGAGTGTTTTCTATTGTGAAGTGATCAGGAATGGTACTGAGAAGGGGTCTCCCTGTGTCTTAGCAGGGGGATGGCGTCCTTGCTCAACATGAAGAAGAAAAGCTTGCTACACACATCTTTAAAATATTTCTTTTAATGTTTAAAAATTTAAAATTTTAATTAATTTTTTTTGTAGGGATGAAGTCTCACTGTGTCGCCCAGACTGACCTTGAACTCCTGGGTTCAAGCAATCCTGCCTCAACTCCCCAAAGTGCTGGGATTACAGGTGTGAGCCACTGCGCCCAGCCAACCACATATGTCTATTTGGAGTTTCACGCTTTTGGTAGGGGAGGAAAGTGCTCATACTTCCTGGTCTTCACCATATCCATCTCTTTCTTCTGTCTCCTATGGCTTCTTTTTTGGTCAAGTTTTATTTCATTTTCTTTTTCCCATGCTTGTTTTAAGCCTAGTCACAGTACCCCTGGAAACCTGAGGACATTGCTTCATATTAGCAATAACCTTCAAACCTGATCTGAGGGACATGGCCAAACTTGGACTGTGCCACATTTTACTTAAGATTTCTTAATCAGCCACGCTAATGAAGGGGAAATTTTGATGAGGAGCTGAATATCTACATGTTCTTAAAGTGTAAGCCCACAGGCAACTTTTTTTTTTTTTTGAGATGGAGTCTTGCTCCATGTAGCCCAGGCTGGAGTGCAATGGCACAATCTTGGCTCACTGCAACCTCCGCCTCCCGGGTCCTTGTTCAAGAAATTCTCCTACCTCAGCCTCCCAAGTAGCTGGGATTACAGGCACGAGTCACCATGCCCAGCTAATTTTTGTACTTTTTAGTAGAGATGGGTGTCACCATGTTGGCCAGTCTGGTCTTGAACTCCTGACCTTGTGATCTGCCTGCCTTGGCCTCCCAAAGTGCTGGGATTATAGGCATGAGCCACTGCACCCCACTCAGGCTACTTATTAATTACAATGGAATAAATAGTAATTGTGCATTAGGGAAACAACATCTTGGTCAGATGATCAACATTAATATCACTGAAATCACGCACCTCCAGGTGTGACTCTTGGAGGACACAACAACCCTGTGAAGTATGCTGGCCAACACCCACACTCTGCAACTGATCACAGGGCAACTTCACACCCATCCAAAAGGAAAAACGAAGACTGTATTTGTCTAAAGCATTGATATTGTGAAAGAGAAAGAAAGCCCATGGAAACATTTCAGATTAAAGGAGGCTAAAGGGACATGGAAGGGCCTGGCTTAGTGGTTCACACCTGTAATCCCAAAACTTTGGGAGGTTGAGGCAGGAGAATAGCTTGAGCCCAGGAATTTGAGACCAGCCTGAGGAACACAGTGAGACCCTTGTATCTTAAAAGAAAAAGAAATTAGCTGGACGTGACATGGAAGGGCCAGGCATGGTGGCTCATGCCTGTAATCCCATCCCATCTACTTGGGAGGCAAAGGCAGGAGGATCTCTTAAGCCTAGGAATTCAAGGCTACAGTAAGCCATGATCATGCCAGGGGACTCCAGCAGCCTGTGAACCACGCCTGGCCACCCGTCTCTTAAAAAAAAGTGGCTGGGCACGGTGGCTCATACCTGTAATTCCAGCACTTTTGGAGGCTGAGGAGGGCAGAGTGCTTGAGGCCAGGAGTTCAAGACCAGCCTCTCCAACATGGTGAAACCACATCTCTACCAAAAATATTAAAAAAATTAGCTGGATGTGGTGTGCTCACCTGCAGTCCCAGATACTCAGGAGACTGAGAATCCCTTGAACCCAGGAGGCAGAGGTTACAGTGAGCCAAGATCATACCACTGCACTCCACCCTGAGCAACAGAATGAGACTCTTCAAAAAACAAAACAACCAAATGAACAACAACAACAAGTGGGGGGACATGGAAGTGAAATGAAACAAGTGACTCTAGACTGAACCCTAAAGGGGAACTGACAAAATTTTAATATGGATAGTATATTAAAGTATTGTATGAATGAAAAATTTACTAGAGTTGATAACTATCCTGTGGTTATGTAAGAAAATAACACTAATCTGAGGAAATAGGTACTAAAATATTTACGGGAAAGGGGCCACAATATATGTAACCTGCCCACAAATGGCTTTGAAAAAATAATATTGGGAATGATGTTCATGTATACACTGAGAGAGTGAGAGAGTGTGACAGAGAGAATGAGCGAGAAGGGGAGAGAGAGCCACAAACAAACGATAAAGCAAATGGGGTAGAAGATGAGCAATGGGCAAACTGGGTGAAGCCCATCCCTGCGCTGTTCTTTGTATGGTTCTCACTCTCGCATTATTTGCCAAACACAAGGCAAAAAATTAAAAAGAAAGCAGCCAATATCTACTGGACAAGGCAGTGTTCGAGGAAGATTCCCAGAGGGAGGGAAACACAAAGCCCTCCTTGGAGAGGTAACTCACTGAGAAGAAGGCTGTCCCTGGGGCACGTGCAGCACTGGTCCTCTGCCGGCCCTGTGCAGCGGAAGCACTTAGCATGGCAGGGCTTGCACCTAGTAGCATCCTCATCCCAGTACTCGTAGGGGGTGCATTTCTCATTGGCCATGCAGCTCCCACGGGGGTTCTTCATCAGGCCTTTCTGACAGGTGGTGCAGGTCCCAGATGATGAGCAGGTCAAGCAGGATTTGTGGCAACCTGCGGGCATGGAGGGGTGGCAGAGAGAGTGAGCGACAGCCAGGGTGGCCCTCGGTGGAATGTCTTCCCCTTGGAAATAATGCTCACAGTTCTTCCACATTTCTTCCAGAGATTTCCAGAACTCTGGGCCAAGGGTGTGGGGCTATGAGTTGGGTACAGCCCTTGAACTCTGGGGAGGACCATTCTTTTGCAAAATGAGAGAAAATTATTTTATTTTCTCTGTGGCACTCAGGAAGTGCCTTCATGCAACAGCCACCTCAGAAATCTTAGTAAGGCTCACTATAGTTACTCAAACTGCAACAAAATAATAACAAGCCATTCTGTAACAGCACCTTTTCCACCAGTGTAACACCTGTTATGGTCCTCCACTTACCTCACTTACCTCACTTACCTTGAGCTCATCACAAGTACAGCAGTTGCTGGAATGTATTTAACTGTCTGTTGACAAATAAAGGTCCCCTTTGCATTTATTTTTGAATACATAGTGCCTGTGAGAGGGCCTGGCATATAGCAGGACTCAGTAAGTATTTGCTAGACAAAGATAAATAACAATTCACTTTCACCTCTAGGTTTTCTTTTTTTTTTTCTTTTTTTAAATTTAATTAGAAATGGGAGCTGGGTGCGGTGGCTCATGCCTGAAATCCTAGCACTTTAGGAGTCCAAAGTGGGTGGATTGCTTGAGCCCAGGAGTTCGAGAGCAGCCTGAGCAACATGGTGAAACAGTCTCTACAAAAAATCACAAGAATTAGCATGGTGATTTGGGCCTGTAGTCACAGCTACTCAGGAGGCTGAGGTAGAAGGATCACCTGAGCCCAGGAGGTCAAGGCTGCAGTGAGCTGTGATTGCACCACTGTACTCCAGCCTGGGTGACAGAATGATACCCCGTCTCAAAAAAAATAGAGATGGGGCTTCACTTTGCTGGCCAGGCTGGTCTTGAACTCCTGGCCTCAAGTGATTTTCCTGCCTTGGCCTTCCGAAGGGCTGGGATTACAGGCACGAGCCACTGCACCAGGCTGACCATCTCTGGGTTTTAGTAGTTGCTGTTCTCTCTGCCTGGAATTCTCTTCTCCCAGATGCGTGCAGGGTTTGCATCCTCCCTTTCTCAATGAAATCTTTTAAGACATCTCAAGTTTTATCTCCATTCTGCCAATCTTCGTGTCCTGCCCCTTTGCCTTATTTTTATTCTTGGCTTATGGTCTTCCCTAATAGAATGTGAGTTCTATGAAGGCAGAGACTCTTTTTGTCTCACTCCCTGCTGTTCCCCCGGCCTGAAAGAGCACATGGCACATAGCAGGCCCCCAGTAAGTCTTCCCTGGGTGAACAGATGCATGGTATTATTATTGTTGTTTATATTATCCTCTCATTTTATCTAAATCAGGAAATTGGGCTGGAGATGCCAAGTCACTTATGCTAAGTAGTATCAGGAGTTGAACCCAGGACCTCAGCAACTGCCTCACTACTTCTGTCCCAGTGCCTCAGGAAAGGTATGGGACTTTTAGAGGTGTCTGTACTATCTATTAAGGGATAATCTGGGTGATCAGAATGGATCTAAAGTTCTTGTGTTTCTTAGAGAAGATCCTGCTTAGAGATTGATTGGTTGGTTGAAAACAGGGTCTTGCTCTGTTTCCCAGGCAGCGGCAGTGGCCGCCCAGTCGGTGTACGCCTTCTTGGCGCGGCCCGCTGGCCAGCGGGGAGCCTGTGAGCTTGGGTTCCTGCTGGACAAGGTGCTGCTTTTCGGGCCAGTTGCGGTGGCTTAAGCCTGTAATCCCAGCACTTTGGGAGGCCGAGGCGGGTGGATCACGAGGTCAAGAGATCGAGACCATCCCGGTCAACGTGGTGAAACCCCATCTCTACTAAAAATACAAAAAAATTAGCTGGGCATGGTGGCGCGTGCCTGTAATCCCAGCTACTCAGGAGGCTGAGGCAGGAGAATTGCTTGAACCCAGGCTGCGGAGGTTGCGGTGAGGCGAGATCGCGCCATTGCACCACTCCAGCCTGGGTAACAAAAGCAAAACTCCATCTCAAAAAAAAAAAAAAAGGAAAAAGAAAAGAAAAGAAAACAGGGTCTTGTCTTGCTCTGTTTCCCAGGCGGCGGCGGCCGCAGCCCAGTCGCTGTACGCCTTCTCGGCGCGCCCGCTGGCCGGCAGGGAGCCTGTGAGCCTGGATTCCCTGCGGGACAAGGTGCTGCTTATCGAGAATGTGGCGTCCCTCTGAGGCAGCACGGTCCGGGACTACACCCAGATGAACGAGCTGCAGCGGTGCCTCGGGCCCGGGCCTTGTGGTGCTCGGCTTCCCGTCCAACCAGTTTGGACATCAGGAGAACGCGAAGAACGAAGAGATTTTGAATTTCCTCAAGTACGTCCGACCTGGTGGTGGGTTCGAGCCCAACTTCATGCTCTTCGAGAAGTGCGAGGTGAATGGTGCGGGGTCGTACCCTCTCTTCGCCTTCCTTCGGGAGGCCCTGCCAGCACCCAGCGACGATGCCACTGAGCTCATGACAGACCCCAAGCTCATCATTTGGTCTCTGGTATGCCAAAATGATGTTGCATGGAACTTTGATAAGCTCCTGGTGGGCCCTGACAGTGTTCCTGTGCGCAGGTACAGACGCCGCTTCCAGACCATTGACATCGAGCCTGACATCGAAGCCCTGCTGTCCCAAGGGCCCAGCTGTGCCTCGGGCACCCCTCCTACCTCAGCTGCCTGGCAGTTGTAACGCTGCTTTCTGGGGGATTTTCATCTGTGAGGGTGTTTCCTCTAAACCTACAAGGAGGAACACCTGATCTTCCGGAAAATACCCCCTAGAGAATGAACCTTCCAGAAAATACCCCCTAGAGAATGGGTCCTGTCCATCCCAGTCTCTCTGCCAGACCAAGGCAAGTTTCCCCACTAATAAAGTGCCAGGTGTTAGCAGAAAAAAAAAAGAAAAAGAAAAAAAAACAACAAAAAACAGTGATGTGATCATGGCTCACTGAAGCATTGACCTCCCAGGCCAAAGCGATCTCCCATCTCAGCCTCTTGGGTAGCTGGGACCACAGGTACACACCACCACATCTGGCTAATTTTTATATTATTATTGTTTTTTAAGAAATAGGGTCTTGCTATGTTGCCCAGGCAGGTCTCAAATTTCTGGACTCAAATGATGCTCCAGCTTTGGCGTCCCAAAGTGTTGAGATTACAGATGCACGCCACCATCCCCAGCTGAGATTGCTTCATTCTAAATGCTTTTCTACACCTCCCTAAATCTTAATTTTCAGATCGGGTTCTTTGTGTCATCTCTCTGGAAAGTCAGTTTGTCTCTGTGTTTCTTCCAAGACCACATTCCTTTTCCTCCCTTTGGTCTGGTACAAAGTGCAATCACATTGTAGGGAGACACATCAAGTGAGTCTCCAACTCTGTCCTCACTAGAAGGGTCACATTGAGCAGGTGCTTAGCTTCTTAAAGCATCTATTTCCTTCTCAGAAAAATGGAGAAAATCGCCATATACCTCAATGGCTCTCAACTCACAGTAAGCATCAGAATTACTGGGGGTGGGAGGAGGAGTTAAAATGTTGGGTGCAGGGATCTGTGGCTTTTAGAGCTGTCCAGGTGATTTCAATGAGCAACCAGGTGCCTTTTTCAAGATAATGAAATCAGGTAAGTTAAGAAAACATGCTCTGAGACCTGTAAAGCTCCCTGTATGGTAAATTACTTTCATTATTGAACATCAGAGAAAGGCAGGAAGTTCACCCTGAGTTCCTGCCCTCACACAGGCAAGATGGCGCCAAAGGCCTGTGGCTGAGTTTGTCACCTCCCAGAAGCCATCTCCAGACCCGCGAATGCCCACCTGTTCTGCATGTGGGCACAGCCTTGATGTCCATGGTTTTTCACAGGTGAAAAACCATGTAGGACATTAACACTAAATAATGCTTTATATAAAACACACAAAAAGGGGTATCCGAATCACAAGGCTGGAGCAGAAAGCCTTCAGGAGTGAGACACATCTTCATGTCCTACCAAAAACCTTCCCCTGAGTATGTTCTAGGGCGTGGGTGTCCCAGAGTTTCTCAGTGGAAGGTCACTCTTGTTAGCGGAACTGCCTCTGGACATCTATCTTGTGTTTGCTTGGGGGTGACATAGAGGGGTGAAGGGCTGCTGGCTGCCTCATCGGAGTAGATCCTGGGGCTCTGAAAAGCCCCCTGACCACACATTTCTCTCACTTGCTAGAGAATTCTAGTAATGCATAACTTATTTTCCTGTCCCTTGATAATGAATAAGAGGCAAATGATTCATGCGGAGTTAAAATATAAGGGGGAGGGCGGATTACTTGAGGTCAGGCGTTCGAGACCAGCCTGGCCAACATGGTGAAATCCTGTTTCTACTAAAAATACAAAAATTAGCTGGGTGTGGTGGTGCATGCCTGTAGTCTCAGTTACTCAGGAGGCTGAGGCAAGAGAATCACTTGAACTCAGGAGGTGGAGGCTGCAGTGAGCTGAGATTATGCCACTGCACTCCAGCCTGGGCAACAGAGCGAGACTCCATCTCAAAAACAACAACAAAAAACATGGGCCAAGTGCAGTGGCTCACGCCTGTAATCCCAGCACTTTTGGAGGCTGAGGTGGGTGAATCACTTGAGGTCAGGAGTTGGAGACCAGCCTAGACAACATAGTGAAACCCCATCTTCACTAAAAATATGAAATAAGCCAGGCACAGTGGCACGTGCCTATAGTCCCAGCTACTCAGTAGCCTGAGGCAGGAGAATCGCTTGAACCCAGGAGGCGGAGGTTGTAGTGAGCTGAGATCATGCCACCACACTCTAGCCGACAGAGTGAGACTCTGTCTCAAAAAACAAACAACAACAACAACAAAACCATGGAGAAAGACAAGAGGCACCAAGAAAGTCTTTTATGGTGGCACAGTTTGCTTGTGCTATAAACTTTTAATGGCTTAACATTTCAAGAAAAGTCTTGGGTGACTTTTGAAGATTCCTCCTCTGTGCTGTAAATCTTCATGTGAGAATGTTATTTTGATCAGCAGTTCATAGCCACTGTTGTGAGGAAGGTCCATGTGATTTGTCACTAATAAAAGTTACCTGTACAAAGCTTATGAGAGATTCATTTAAAAGAAAATTTACAACCAATTCACAATAATGACTCCTTGAGTGAGGAGGTAAAGGATGAGATGGGCTGGACATGGTGGCTCACACCTATAATCCCAGCACTTTGGAAGGCTGGATTGCTTGATGAAGCCAGGAGTTCAAGACCAGCCTGGGCAACATTCTGAGACCTCATCTCTATATCCCCAGCAACTCTGGAGACTGAGGTGGGAGGATCACTTGAGCCCAAGAGACGGAGGCTTCAGTGAGCCATGTCTGTACTACTAAATTTGAGCCTGGGCAGCAGCGGGAGACCTTGTCTCAAAAATAAAAAAAAAGATTGAGATGACAGTTCTGGGGCTGGGCCTGGGCTGGAATTGTGCAAACCCTGGAGCCTATTTTGAACCCCAGAAGTCTTTACCTCTGCACTCCTTAGTCTCTTTTTCATAATAGGTTCCTGCCAGACACTCCTCCAAGCACAGCCCAGCCCATCGTAGAGGACCCAGGAACTCTATGATGCAGTCATCAGCGTTGGGGCCACTGCACTCCAGGCAGTCTTTATGGCAGGGGACACAGTGGCGTGAGTCTGCATAGGAGCCACGGGGACAGGACTGGTGGCACACATCATTGTGCAGGAAGAACTCAGGCATGCACTCTGGGGAAAGGAGGAAGCAGCAAGTTATCTCTGGGGGAAAGGAATACATTGTTTCTGCAGTGGGTGAGCTCCTCCCTCAGCTCTCTGGTTGATTTGACTTGAGAGTATGCTTACCCTTCCCCCACCTGCCAGGGTCTATATCTTATGAGATATCAAGTCTATATCTTATGCTTACTCCCCCCCACCCCACCACCACCTGCCAGGAGGGGAAGGGTAAGCATAAGATATAGACTTGATATCTCACAAGCCCTGGCTTGATGGTGGGAGGCTACACATGGTGACCATATTAGATGGTGCTGGACTTAAACACACTGAAGTGGTCTGCCCTTTGGAGGTGCAAAAAATTGCAATGCTGCAAAAGACAGGGATAGTTGAGAGGCTGGAGGTATTGTTTGAAAAACCCAAAAAGCATGAACAGATTTTAAAAGTTGTATTAAGATTTTAAAAGTTGTATTGAGAACTTCACACTCTGTTCAATACAGAAAGCAGTTCAGGAATGGTTGGATGAACTTTTCATTCATTGTTCAGGTACCACAACAAATAAAGATTTGATCAGTGTGAAGAATATGTTGTGGGTTTATTTTATTTCTGTTCATTTTCCTACTTTGGAGGGAATCCTGGAAAACACTTGAGGTCACACCAAGAGAACACTTTGGATAGGGCAGCACCAGTTAAATCAGTCTGTATTATTATTCTGGAGAGGAAATTGAACAGCTTTTTGGGGGAGATAATTCCTGAGGAAAAAAACAACAAAACTTGTTCATAGCCAGAGTGGTCAACTCAGTCATAGCTGCCCAAACTTATTTTTTTCTTACCCTTTTTAACAATTGTAGTTTTCTTCTTTTTAGACTGAGTGTTGCTCTTGTTGCCCAGGCTGGAGTGCAAAGGTGTGATCTTGGCTCACTGCAACCTCTGCCTCCTGGGTTCAAGCAATTCTCCTGCCTCAGCCTCTGGAGTAGCTAGGACTATAGGCACCCCCACCACACCCGGTTTATTTTTTATTTTTTTCTTTTTCCTGTTTGAGGTCCCGCTCTGACACCAGGCTGGAGTACAATGGTGCAATCTCGGCTCACTGTAACATCCACCTCCCAGTTCAAGTGATTCTTCGGCTTCAGCCTCCCGAGTAGCGGGGACTACTGGCTTGCACCACCATGCTCTGTATATTTGTTTTTAGTAGACACAGGATTTCACCACATTAGCCAGACTGCTTGAACTCCTGACCCCAGGTAATCCTCCCATCTCTGCCTTCCAAAGTGCTGGGATTATAGGCATGAGCCACTGTACCTGGCCAAACAATTTCAATTTTCTAGCTACTTCGTGTTTTGTGGTTTACTAGCAGTCTGTAAGATTTTATGTTCAAAAAGATGGGAACAGCTGGGCGCAGTGGCTCATGCCTGTAATCCCAGCACTTTGGGAGACTGAGGGAGGTGGATCACCTGAGGTAAGGAGTTTGAGACCAGCTTGACCAACATGGAGAAACCCCATCTCTACTGAAAATACAAAATTAGCTGGGCATGGTGGTGGGCACTGTAATCCCAGCTACTCAGGAGGCTGAGGCAGGAGGATCACTTGAATCCAGGAGGCAGAGTTTGTGGTGAGCCAAGATCTCACCATTGCACTCCAGCCCGGGTGACAAGAGTGAAACTCCATCTCAAAACCCAAAAATCAAACAAAGGGAACATTAAGTTTTTCTCTGTATCTCTAGCACTTAGGATAGCACTTGCACACCTGCTGTGTGTACATGTGAGTGTGTGTAAGAAATCATGCAGAAAGCGGCTCTTGCTTGTCTTAGCTTGCAGCATCCATAATGAAAAGGGTGTATCCCACCCTCAATTTCTCTGATGACAGGCACAGAGACGTACCTTTTGGGAAAGGTAGGACGAATGGTTCCCGCAGCTCTTTGCCATCCACCCTCAGATAATCGGCCCCACCGGGTGGCTCAGTAGAGCCTGGCTCTCCTATGGAAAGCTCCCAGGTACCTTTGCATGTTTTCTCATGGATGCAGTCCTGACACATCTCTGGGCAGTGCTTGCACACCCCCTCCACAGCCATGTGCCTCTCGGGGCAGGTTTCCTGGCACACTCCGTGGTGCAGGATGAGGGCTCCTTCACAAGAATGGCAGTTGGTGGCATTGCCTTCACACGTTCTGCAAGGAGAGCTACAGCATTTGCATACGCCATCTTCTGCATAGAAGCCCCTGTGGAAGGAAGAGAGAGCACAGCTGGAGAAGTGATTCATTCCTGGGGGAAAGGAATTAGGGCTAAAAACAAAAGGGCTGCTGCTGTTATCAGCTGAGAGGCATCCATGGATTTATGAGGAAGTGAAAAAGAACATGCAGAAAAATGAAAGGAAAAGGACAGGCATTAGTCTTGTGAAAGGAGAATAAATCTTGGGACCCTAATATCACTAAGCCAAAGGGGAAAGTCAAGCTGGGAAGTGCTTAGGGCAAACCTGCCTCCTATTCTATTCCTTCAAAAGATAGCTACTGGCCAGGCCAGATGGCTCACGCCTATAATCTCAGCACTTTGGGAGCCTGAGGTGGGAGGATCTCGATGGCAGGAGATCGAGACCATCCTGGCCAAGATGGTGAAACCCCATCTCTACTAAAAAATACAAAAATTAGCTGGGCATGGTGGTGCATGCCTATAATCCCAGCTACTGTGGAGGCTGAGACAGGAGAATCACTAGAACCTGGGAGGGGAGGTTGCAGTGAGCAGAGATCATGCCACTGCACTCAAGTCTGGGTGACAGAGAGAGACTCTATCTCAAAAAAAAAAAAGTTGTTACTAAGATTTAAAAAAGCTACAGTGGGTCGGGTAGGGTGACTCATGGCTGTAATTCCAGCACTTTGGGAGGCCAGGGTGGGTAGATCACCTGAGGTCAGGAGTTCAAGACCAACCTGGCCAACATGGTGAAACCCCGTCTCTACCAAAAATACAAACAATTAGCTGGGTATGGGGGCGGGCACCTGTAATTCCAGCTACTTGGGAGGCTGAGGCTTCAGAATTGCTTGAACCCAGGAGGCGGAGGTTGCAGTGAGCGGAGATCATGACATTGCATTTCAGCCTGGGCAACAAGAGTGAAACTTTGTCTCAAAAAAAAAAAAAGATATATATTACTGTTAAAACATTTTTTTTGGCCAGGTGTGGTGGCTCATGCCTGTAATCCCAGAATTTTGGGAGGCTGAGGTGGGTGGATCACAAGGTCAGGAGTTCAAGACCAGCCTGGCCAACATGGTGAAACTCTGTCTCGACTAAAGATACTGAAAAAAAAAAAATTAGCCAGGCATGGTGGCAGGCACCTGTAATCTCAGCTACTTAGGAGGCTGAGGCAGGAGGATCACTTGAATTCAGGAAGCGGAGGTTGCAATGAGCCGAGATCATGCCTCTACACTCCAGCCTGGGCGACAGGGCAAGACTCCATCTCAAAAAAAAAAAAAAACACTTTTTTTCATGAATAAATACTATATTTGCTAACTTATAAATAACTCTGAATATCTGGATGCTGTGCCATTGCAGGTTATGTTCCTGTTATAAATATTATTGCTGTTCTAGGATGGATCACACCCCAAGGGTGATTCTTAGAAATAGCAATAAAGCTTCCCGAGATAAACTGGATATTGTATGTTCCTCAGACTCTGTGTCTTCTGTTGTTGGTTTTCTTTTTTTCTGTAAACACAAAGATGAGGGATTCTGCCATAATCAGATCATCCTACCCATAACAGGACGACATATGCTCGTAATTCTGCAGTATTCCTAGGCCACGCTAGTAACTTTCCTACTGCTCAAAAAATATAGACTCTCTTGATGGCTGTTTATCTTCATAGTGTCCCATGGTTCCATGAGAATGGTTCAACCCAGACGCAGAGGAAAAAAACATTGAGCAATCAGCTAACTGGAGTAAAGCAAAATGCATCTCTTTCTTCCTTGTTTCAATGCTTTAGCAATTCCTGGAACATTCAAAGAATCCAAGAGAGAGTTGGAAAAGGTAATGATTAAATAAATAAGACAATAATAATGACAAGGAGTTCAATCCTGCCACTGAGAAAGCAGTGACTGACTCTGATCCTGACCTTTAGGATCCCTGACCTTCACCTTTGCTTCATTGTAACACTTGGCTCATTTTGCTGGGTGGGATGGAGCTCGGTTGCTAGGGAAGGAGGACTGGGAGTTTCCTGACCTGCCTTGTCACCCGGGTTCTCTTACTCTGATGCTTTGCTACCCTTCCTCCACTCTCTGCTGGACAAAATCCTCCAAGAACTAGTGACCATCAAGCTCAAATACCCAGCTGGGGATGAAGCTGGAAAACAGCATGCTAAGTCAAAAAGTCGATCACCAAAAAAAACAAAAAAACAAAAAAACATGTTTTGTCTTTTTGGTTTTATATGTTTTGTTTTTGTTTTCAGAGAAGGGTCTTGCTATGTTGCCTAGGCTGGCCTTGAATTCCTGGGCTCAAGCAATTCTCCAGTCTTGGGCTCCTGATAGCTGGGAATATAGGTGTGCACCATGGCCACCACGGTTGGCTAAAAGAACATATTTTATACAAGCCCATTTATAGGAAATGTCCAAGAATAGCGAATCTATCGAGATTAGTGGTTACTTAGGGCTGGGGAAATGGAAAAAGCGGGAATAACAGCTAAAAGGGTATAGGGTTTCTTTCTGGGTTGATGAAAAGATTCTAAAATTGATTATTGTAATGTTGCATAACTGTGAATATACTAAAAACTATTGAATTATACACTTTTATATCTCAATAAAGTTGTGATTTTAAAAAATACTCAATTGTACAAGAAGGCAGCATTGAGTGATAGTTAAGCATCTGGACATCAATGCCAGAGAGGTTTGGTTCAAATTCTGGCCATACCACGTATTCAATGGATAAAATCGAGCCTAATATTATTTTCCTCATCTGTGAAATGAGGGAAAATAATATAGTATGTGGATAAGAGAATTCTTCTGAGAATTAATGGAATCATACATTTAAAGCTCTTTGCACAATACCTGGACATTGCAAGCATTAAAAATATGGTGATTTAAAATGTTTTTTCCTTTGGAATCTCTTACCTCTTTGTATATTAAGGCCCTGAGAAGTATGATGCTGACTGATATAAACCTCTATTACTGGATCATAAGGCTTTTGCAGACCCAGACTTCCTGCACTTGGTTTTAACTTAGCTTCCCACATCAATATCAATACCAATATCAATTGTTGGTAGAAGAATAAACTCCACTGAGCTACACATCCACAATACAATACATTGATATTGTATCAGTATCAATTTTTACACCTAGTTGGTGCTAAATATGTATCTGTGTTATTGAACTGAATATGCTTGGCTTCTACACTAGATTGGATGCTTTTTTAGTGTAAATGCCATAGCTTATATTTATACTCTATGAAGTCCATCTCAGTAATAAAAACAAATACGTCATTAGGAAACAGGTGTTGTTTTAATCAAATTCTTCTAATAAGAGGGCAAATGAGAATTTGCCCTTAAAGTAGACACTGCCAGTTATTTTCCCAAATTCATTTTCTGCCTCCCTCTCTCCATTTTTCATGGCTGTCAGAGTTCTGATTTGGGTGTTCGGGGGTGAAGCTTGTTCAGGCTAAGCCAGTCCAGTCCTTATGTTTTCATGCTTTTTTCCAAAGATTGATTTAGGGAGGTATTAGTGATGCATTCTTGCTACTGATATCAGAAGGGAAGTCTGTGGAAATTTTCTTTTCTCTCAAGAAAGGGATCAACAAAGGGAAACATCGCCTTTCCTGGCCTGGTTATGGCTGCATGGGGCCACAGGGTCTGGAGCAGAGACGGACAGTGTGGGCTCAGCATTGGCACCAGTCAGAGTGGATGAACTAAGGTACAAGAGCAAAATGGAAAAACTGGGTTTTCCAATGAGCCTTTTGGCCACTGAAGCGAGCAGTACTGGACTTCCAACATTTTTGTTTGTGAGATAGTACTCCCTGTTGTGCCTCAGTCATTCTACTTGGCATTTCTGTTGCTTATTGCTGAAGGTTTCTTGCTGGACTTTGCATTTGCTATTTCCCACTTTCTTCCTATGTAAATTCTGAAGGTGGGACCATTGGTAGGGAGAGCAAAGCAATTACAAACCAGGAGACCAAGGAAACCAGGAGGAATCAATAAACAACTAACCAGGAGTTATTTATTAAAATTAATGTCTCACCTATTTAAACCTGTAGAAGAGATTCACATCACAGTCTTACTTTAGTAATGGAGAAAAAGACTGACAACAGTTGATCATTAATACAAGATGGGAAAAGAACTTTTTTTTTAAGAGACAGGGTCCTGCTTTGTCATCCAGGCTGGAGTGCAGTGGTACAATCATAGCTCACTGCAGTCTTGAACTCCTGGGCTCAAGGGATCCTCCCACCTCAGCCTCCCAAGTAGCTGGAACTACAGGCAACCACTGGCTAATTTTTCGATTTTTTGTATACAGAGTCTTGCTATGCTGCCTAGGCTGGTTTCAAACTCTTGGCGATCCTTCCATCTTGGCCTCCTGAAGTGTTGGGATTACAGGCGTGAGCCACTACACCCAGCCCCTGAACATACCTTTCATAAAAGTAAAAATATACGCATAAAATAGTCACAAAGGAGGAGTGGGCATCTGGCCTCACATAAGTCCTCTGTGGCCCACAGCAATGTCAGTCAACAGAGGACATTTATGTGGGCACTCATAGAGCGAGAAGTTTTTCGGTAAATAAGAAGGAATTGTTACCGAAGGACCATAGGAGAGTGATTACAAGCAGGAAGTAAAAGAAAAAAGGGAACTTACTCCTGGCACTTGGAGAGGCACCTGCCTTCCTAAAGAGGGCGGCCAGGCTGCATCTGGCACTTTTCACAAAGACTGGCTCCAGAGCAGATGGCACAGGTCTCTGCACAGTTCTCACATCTCCTGCTCCTTACAGAGGGCCATGTGCCTTGAGGACAGGAAGGAACACAGGCCTGAGCCAACAGATACGCACCTAGAAATCCAGGGAAGAGGGAAGATGGGAATAGTCATCATGTGTTTCTCCATGCAGACATGGCCTTTTTAGCCTTTCCAAAGACCAAAGTATCCAGGCATTTATTTCAGGCTTACCAAAATATTTAGTAGTGATTCTAAGTCCTCCAGGATGAGTTACATTTCTAGAAAGGCAATTCACAGCAAGAGGCTTTTGCTGTTTCTTTCCTTTTCTCCAGATATTAGGTGTAGGTCATGATGGGACTTCCCTTTGCCCAGCTGATCAGTCTTATTAACACCCTGTCTGTGTCTTCCTGGTGTAAGGCAGCTGTACATGTCCAGCTTGATAGAATCTATTAATACTCTGCTTCCCCAGAGCCCGTCTTGTAAAGACACTAACATAGTTGCAACTTTTTTTTTTTTTTTGAGACGGAGTCTTGCTCTGTCTCCCAGGATGGAGCGAACTGGTGCGATCTCAGCTCACTGCAATCTCTACCTTCTGGATTCAAACCACTCTCCTACTTCAGCCTCTTGAGTAGTTGGGACTACAGATGTGCACCACCATGCTGGCTAATTTTTGTATAATTAATAGAGACAAGGTTTCACCACATTGGCCAGGCAGGCAGGTCTCAAACTTCTGACCTCAGGTGATCCACCCACCTTGGCCTCCTAAAGTGCTGGGATAACAGGCATGAGCCACCACACCCAGCCCATAGTTACAACTCTTCCACCCAA